ACTTTTAATTCGTTATCAAAGCAAAAGCAATGTAAAACTGAGGGTAAAAAACACTCTCCGAAACAATTGAGATGAATGAAAGTTTGAGTGTATTATCCACGCCACACTAATTATTACGCCAAATTAAACTCGACAGCGCAATTAGCGAAATGCTAATTTACTGCGTAGTTTTTTTTTTATAGCCTCCTGGTTTAATTGACAGCATTATGCGATCAATAGCGGGACAAAGGGGCTGTTTATGCACAATTCGGTCTCTTGATACTCACCGGGGTCCATTAATCTAATAGGAGACGCACAATGGAACTGCGCGCGGTGGGTCGCAGTGCGGGCCCAGAAATGCTTTCTTAAACAGAATCTGCGCGCGCTTACCTTTGTACGAGTGCACTTACAGGAATTGCTAGTGATTTTTATAATCTAATATATCCGTGCCGTATTGATTTATTGGCAGAGCGGGTCCCGTGCTAGGGTTAGGGAGATTTCATTTTCAGGCCAGACGTACGCAGACAATTTTTTTTTTGGGGGGGGGGGGCATTAAAAACACGAGAGAGTTTCCAAGAATACTGAGCGACCCACCTTTTTGGCGTTCAAAAAACGGCGAAGTGAAACCATTTTTGAAATTGCCGATTAAATTTCCTATTTCCAAAATTGACTATGCTGAATGGTTGCAATTCCACCTTCGCGAATAAAGACGCTCACGGTTTTTGCAATTCTATTCACCGTGCGCATTCGGTAACTATTCTCAACCGAGACGTGGTTTGTGCTCAGCAGTGGAGTTGTGTTGCATGGACTGTGGCGAATATCAAGTTGGTGTATACAACGCTATACTCATTGTGATGAAAAATGTATCTTATTACGTAACTTGTTATGCTGGCTGAACATGTCAAGAATGGTGGTTGCTGTTGTCATGGTTTTGATGCCTTGATACACACACACACACGCACGTACATTTTGCATTGTTAAAACCTTATGCACTCTCTCACCATCTCATTCACTCGAGGGATCTGCTTTGGTCGCTCTCTTCAACTCCCCGTGTCTATTTAACTCCCCACTGGTCCTTTCCTGGCAATATAATTTCCTCCCCATGTCTCCCCATCTCTCTTCCAAGGCCCCCAATTCCCTACTCTGGGAACATTTCTCACACACAACTAAAAAATATACAACCCCCCAAGAATACGATGGTGGACTTTTGGGGGAAATAATTAAATAAGCGACTAGCTTTGAGGATTAATTCGATCTCAAGTACATTTACTCCTGCAGGCATTCTGGAAATAACTGCCTGGTAATAAGATATTTGTGAACATTCTCTGTAGAGGGGGGAGGGGGCGGGTGGAGAGGGTGGATGGACTTTTTAACCTTAATGATAGGCTATTTTACACACACACATCAGATGTGCCTTGTGGAAAATGTCCCTAGAGCAGGGGTACAACCCTTGTGGATTTAGTGGGTCTCCTGATGCCCCCTAGCATTTTTTAGATCGGGCGGAAAGACACGCGCAAACATTTTCGACAAAAACCACAGCGTTTTGAGTCCGCGTTTTTCTCCCTTCTCAAAGGGTGACAAATGCAAATTATTCGGACGAGGGGACCGTTAATTTTACAGAAGCCAACAAACAGTAGGCTCAGTGCTGAGTCAGTAGCCACTAGCGTGGTTTTAATATCATTATATTGTAGTAGAACTCTTCTTATCCGTAATTGAACCAATAACCAGAGCACCACTAACTGGTAGGACACTATCACCTTGCAAAGTGCGACGGCGCTTCTGTGCTCCTGAATGTTTTACAGGGACTCAGGGAAGATTTTAATCTGTAGATATTGCACCTAGAGCTCAATACACTATGATGCAAACGTAGCCACTCCTGTGTCAGCGCCCACTCTGTGAATGCAGCTTGAGGATGTAACGCAGCTGACCTAAAGTTTTCCAAATTACACGCAGCTGGGCCCTTGATCATTTGTAATGTGGAGCTAATGTGTACGTACCATGGAGTGGAACGGTAGGCGGTGGTTAGCGCACTGCGCAATGAACCCGGCCATGGCTGATACCGAGGATGTTCACCCGCGTGGTGAAGAGGAGGAGCCAAACATTTCCGATGAACGACACGGCATGGAGAGGCCTTCGTCCAGAAGTGGATTGCCAAAGGGTTGTGTGTAATTGGTATCAATGTATGATAGCAATGCGTCAATGCTAACCCGTCACCGGGCAGGATCCTCTAGACTCTTTAGAGAAGCTGCGTGGTGTTCATTTCAGCTCATCCGATAACGAGCTCCGATTAATCCACCGCTGTGGTATCTGTTTAATCTGTCTGTGCGCCTTACCGGAAATGGAAACAAAAAAAGGATTCATTTGCCAAACGGAGTCGCAGGTCACCACAGTTGGCACACCCTTTGATTTGTTACGGATGAGTGAGATTTGTAAGTAAATGTGATACAAGAAGATTCCATGGTGAGTGATTTGTAAAGCCACAGCAGCCAGCTAAACATTAGCTTGTCTTCACTACAGTACATAACTGAGTTTTCACATTTCTTCCAAAGCCCAGCAGTGGAGACGGAGATTTGGTGAAACTGAATAAGTTACTTGGAAAATAATAAAACGTTATCGAAAAGCAAAGGTCCGAAGTTAACAATTAAAATTTACAAATTTTCAACAGTAAAACAATATAAATAGCACAATTTCCAATGAATTAAAAATATTTCATTTCATTAAAGCGTAAGTGTTAATGCCAATGAAACAAAGTACGCAATTATTATGCGTCGTACAAATACAGGCGCATGCTGCGCAGTTACGTATCGAGTCAAGCTTGCGCATTTTGGTCTGGCGCGGTGGGAAGGGTAGGGAAGCAGGATGATGGAGAGGAGGAGGAGGGGGGGGTAAGGGTGGGGCCATATGGTGGAAGGGTGGAGGGAAGGGCATAGAAGAGTGGAAGAGTTGGGGAGGAACCCTAGTAAGTGGTGGGGGATGGGTGGGGGGGTACATAGTGGGATGGAAGGGAGGGTGATTTACTGCCCATCTCTGTAATGAAATGGCATCTCTGGACGGGGCCGCAAAAAAATGGCCCATAATGGATAGGCCACTTTGCTTAATGAAATTAGGTCTTTGGGCCAAAAACGCTGCCGTAACTCCATTAATATATGTGCGGTGGCGGGGCGGCGGTGCTGGTGGTGTGCGCGCGCGCGTGCGGGAGGGCTCCAGTGTGCTCGTCGAACGAGCGGGGTACAGGCAGTGCTGCGCCAGACTTGCCGTGCAGACACTCACGCAGGGAGACGCGCAAGGAGGAGTGGGATCGGCTCGATTGCGCGGAGGGCGCTCTGGAAGCCGGGCGACCGTGGCACCTTCGGCAAACAACTCGGAACGGACGCGCACGAGGTTTGCGATGGAGCGGGACATGGGATATTCGACGATTTTTTTGAATTATTTTCTGCGGGTTGCATTTTTGTGTGTTGTCTTTTGAGTGAGGTCTTAGGCGGCGGGGAATAAAATGCCGTGTAATTTAAAGGGGGGAATAGGCTCGACATTAAAATACGTGCTCAAGTATTATTGATTTTTTTTAGATATAAATCATGAATTTTCTGTCAAGTTGCAGGTAATTGAACTAATGTCACTGTGTGTAGTCTGTCTTGCTTAAGTTATCACTTATGCAAGGTGTCCTGTTGAAACGTAAATGCTTATTAAGTGTTTAAATTGTAGTAACCATGCTGAATTGTAGTTAATGAATAATTGTAATTTTTAATTTTAAAAAAATGCAAAATATAAATCTTCAAAACGATTCCATATTCTTTCAGACGATTTACTTATGAATTTAACTATCTTTGGTAGTCTAATTGTGGCCGGATGTGGCTACGTGGATTCACTGCTCCCTCGTGTGCCCAAAACCATGGAAACAAATGGCCATGACAGCGATGATCAGTACCGGAAAAAAACCTAAATCCCATTTATAAGATCTAATGCGTTTTGTCATAGTAACCGACTTGTGTTGTTTTTTTCTTTCTCCCGTGGTGTGGTGTGATGCGCTGGATACTTCAGTCACGATCTTTTAAAATTGTATTTCTCGAACAGATTCTCCGATGGGACCGCACGGCACTCAGGTTTGGTGCGTTACTCGTAACGATGTGGTGGTACGGCAAGTCCAGCCACCGTCTACCCTTCGGGGTGCTTTTTCAAAGTTTCTCCGGGCTTCAGCAAAACCTCCTCCCACCCCCCCTCACCACCACCGAGATTTGTGAAGATCCCAGAAAGACGGCCGTCCCTGCCTTGTGCTTGATCTAACCATGTGCTGTCCCAAACAACATGGTTTGTTCATGCACCAGGTAGAGGCATGCCCCTTCTTCCTCCAGGTGGAAGACGCAATGTCACAGGGCGAAGCCACACGTCCAAAAAAAAATCATTTGCGTCGCATGAAGTACTTGAAAACAAGATTAAAAAAAAATGTTAACGCGGAAACTTGACACCTGGCCGATTTTCTGCAACCATTTCAAGCCCAGCTCATGTGATTGTAAATATTGGCGTGGTCCCCCCCCCTACTCTTCTGAAATATTACGCTAAAAGTTTACAGCTTCTGCTGTTCAGATTTCAAATCTTGCATGCGATGGGCTCTCTACGTCACTGCTGCTATTGTGTTACCACGATAGCGCAAACAACCACATGGCCCAGGCAGATGTCCAAGATGATGATGGGCTAGCGTGCTCCGTTGTGCGAGGGGCCATTTTTGTCAAAACAAACGGCTCGGTGGGTCGCAATTTGCGATATTTTTTGACTATTTCTTGACGAATCTTAAGGACTGCTAGAAGACCGGTTCCGTCAAGGCAGCGTCCACAACCACAGCCGTGTTATAAAGACCTCAAATGTCGTATTTTTCTATGTAAATGAACATTTTCTGCGCTGTGTGTAATGTCAAAGCCAGCCTACGAAAATAAACAGTTTTGTCTGCTCTGCCAAAAGGTACGCACTGTCAAACACATAAACATCAACAAGACATTCATATTAATTGATAAAAAAAATACACTGCCAATATTCTGTCCGTAAAAATAAAAATGAGAGCAGTCCTTTCTGATATTCAACGTCACCAGCCGTGTCGTGCTCGCAGTGTAACGTAATTGAATAACGCTAACATCACTCGTCCTCATGCCACGGGTTAGCACGGAGATTCGCCCGTTACGAGTGAGTTTTCATGCAATGTGATTAAGTCAACGTTGCAATTATGGGCGTGTACTGAAAGAAACACGATATGTACCTCGATGATTTCGCGATCATTTTTTTATTGAAACACATTGATAGATGACGACTGGGATATTCATCCCAAAACGCATGCGTGGGTCAGACAGCAGCGCGGATGTTCAACCACGCGATAAAAATTAAAGTGATTTCCCCCCCCTTCCCCTCTCCGAGATTTTGTTTGATGTGAGCCAATGGCCATGGCTCCTTGATATGAACATCTGTTGAAAATTAGACGTAATATGATAAACACATTGCGCCTTAATTATTATTGAATCAGTCCCATAAAAACGCAGCAAAAAAAAACGGTTGCATGCACTGTTTGTTTTATTTTTTGAAAAAAATTGACAGCCATTAGAAATGCCTAGGTAGGCTACTTCTATGAATCCAAAATAATGTATATACACATTTACTGTATATATTTTGCTTTAGATTGAAATTTCATCTCCCATTTGAAAATGTGTTTTAGATTCGGCAGGAAAACACCACCCTCCCCACCAAAATGAAATAAATGAGAAACATTAAGTCAATTACAGGTGTGCGAATACCAACATTTGGAATCCACCGAACTGGAAATGCAAGTAAACAAACTGAAATATCGCAGAATCACAGGTACTTTTACACACGCGCGGCGCGGTGCTAAGAGCGAACGTCACGTTTGTCGATGTGCCCGGAGGACAGCTGCAATAGCAGCTTTCATCTCCTCCATCTCCCGGCCATCATGCCCTGTCCCACCCTAAACCTTGGAGAGTTAGAGCAGGGGTCCCCAACCCCCGGGCCACGGACCGGTATCGGTCCGTGGCCTGTTAGGAAACGGGCCGCACAGCAGCAGGAGGTGAGAGCGGTGAGTCCGCGCGTAGCCCGCTCTCATTGTTTTATTATTTGCCACTTCCATCCGCGCCTCTTTCCAGCACTGTGCACTTGTGTCTCAGTCACAGTGTTGGTAAGCCCACAAGCTGCTAACCCCTAGCCAAAATGAGTAACAAACAAACGTCGTTGGAGAGCTTCTTTGAAAAGATGTAAAAGACCCAATGATGAACCCCCCCCCCACCGGTCCGTGAAAAAAATGTCTTCCACGAAACCGGTCCCTGGTGCCAAAAAGGTTGGGGACCGCTGAGTTAGAGGACCCACGACATCTACCCGGAAGAGTATGCGTCTGCTATGTGCACGCGAATGAATTTACAGCTTTGGAAACCTGCAACGCAAACGCTGGCTGATTTAGAAGCAAAAATAAATGTGTATAACGTACATGTATCGCATTTGGAATGGAGCTGTCTGGATCATCGCGAGCGCAATTGCTGGCGACTTTATTTTGGAGTGTTAGTCGTGTGCGTAGGTGTACATCGCCCCGTTCACAATTCCCTAAAGCGGTGAGCGTAGCTCCTGGTGCATTTTAGGGTGGGACAGTGCTAAAAGACAACTTGCATATTACAGAATGTATACACGCATGGATCTGGCCACAGAGAGGTAGCGGATACAATTTGAGGGTGTAAAAATGGATCAGGGAGTCATTACAATTCAACATTTTCACAATCACGAGCATCAAAGTTGCAAAAATAAAAATTCAGAACCGTCAGCAGATGCTTAATCGAGAAGAGCAGCTTTAACAATGCACGATGATAACCTCCTCTTATAACGGCTCCTCATATATCACTGCCAGCAAGGCAACCAGATTAAGATTTCAGCTTCATTCATTTCTGAAGTTGTCTATGAAAACCAAAAATAACTGAATGCAGAGAGCCGGATGAGCCCTGCACTGGCTTGTACCCAATACACGACTGAGTACAGCTCAACCTTGGGATCGTTTTCCTCGCTCAGCTGAGCAGGCGTGGGGGGGGGGCAGTCTAAACAGGAAGGCAGTGTTAATAGCTGTTACCCATCAAGATAGCGGTGTTTGACCCTAGCTTGTAGTCGTGTGATCGTGACCCGGGTATTTGATAGTCGAAAAAGAGAGCTCAACTTTGACATCGCTTGACGTACATTTTGACTATAGTTTGAGAAAACCTGATTTAGCAAAGAGTTCAGGGTAACGTCTAAGGCATTATCGTTTGACACGTCTGATATACATTAAGCACAACAGGATTAACCACAAACTGGGTGCTTCAAAATGATATGACTAACTAAAAATGCGCATTGTGGGACACAAACAGGAAGGGATGGTATAAACACAAGCACTGAAATCACGAAGTAAGACTTTTTTTACACAATCTTGGAGAAAACAAATGACATGACGGAGGTTGAAGGAATTTCCTTAATTAAAAAAACAAAAAAATCACCTGGACCAGAACAGGTAATTCAAATGACTATTCCATATCATGAACATTTTACACATACCACCCATTCCCACTTGGAAGTATTTAATATTCAAACTCTTTTTGGACAAATTCACTCATCACTTCACTTAACGAAGCCCAAAAAAAAAAATCCAATATGACCTTGAATGTTGACCGCATCATAGGTAACATAAAGTGCATACAATGCCACAAAAACCCCTAGGTCGTTGTAAAAATAATAATCTAAAAATAACATTCTCTTGAACAATTCTATAAAGCACCACACAGACAACATAGGATCGTATCCAATCGGATTATCGTGTGTTTAAACTCGCCGATCTAACGTCTTACCCTTTCACATCCTCGCTGCTGTTAAGTTGACTTGAATTGCAAACCTTGAACCGGACAAGGGTCGATGTGATTTTGAGTTTACCACGCGGTCCAGTGACAATGTTGAAGGACATCAATTTGCCTAAATCTCTACGCCAGGTGCCTCGCCTAAGTAAAATACTGAGCTTGGCGTGCTGCATTCCATTTCAACTGACATTGGCTGTGATCCCGACAGCTTAAGAACCTTCGTGTTTGAAATTTTGGTGCCGTTACATATGGTTGAAAAAACAGACCCATGAAAAATTTTTATCGTGATAAAAAAAACACTTAATCAGAAAATTGCCTCGTGGTTTCTTAGCAACTCAACATCTTCTTGGTTCTTTCGGTAAAGTCACGTAGAAGGGAAATAATAAAATAATAAAAATAAAACATAATAAAATAATTCTCACGACACTGTCTTTCCGACATACCTGTTCTTCACCTGAGGACGGCTGCTTGCGTTGTGGCCGAAACGTCGTGAGAATTATTTTTTTATGTTTTATTTTTATTATTTTATTTCCCTTTTCAGTGACTTTACCGAAAGAACCAAGATGAATCCCTGCAGTCACAAAAGCTTTAAATCGAAATTCAACTCCACATCATTCACAATATATTACATAGCTTTGACCGCTTTAGAGCAAGCAATCCTGACATCAGAGTATACTCTTAACAGCACGTATGCCATCATCCGACTTGGGCAGAATCACTTGCCTTCTCAGGCATTATATTATTATTTAGAAAATGGGGAGGAAGATTTGTCAGCCTCTATCCAGGCAGGCTCAGATGCACGTGAAGTCCATTTGGTCAGAAGAGGGCAGAGAGAGAACGGCGAACAAGAATCAGCCAGTGTGCAACTCCGATTAGCACGGTTATCTACGTACGGTGCGAAAGGTCAACATACATACGAGACATTAGAGATGCATCGATTCATAGAATATCAATTATTAAACCTACGATACGAACACCAAATCATGTGCGCAAGAAGGAACATTTGATTCATATATGCTGTATGCAATGGGATCCCGTCACTGCTGCAGCCAGTACGGGTGCTACTATTCAACGCAATGTGAAAGTAATTGATTGTTGAATTGCGACAATTCATTGAATCGCTCCACCCTTAATAGTCTTCACCACAGACCTACAAAAAAACAGCCAACACGGATAGTTGCTCGCTCTCCCCCAGGCAGGGCACACACTCCATACACGATGGTTGAATGAACTATGTCTATACCATGCCAATAGTTCAGTTGAGATACCCACTGCAATCTGCTATGCATATATATGTATATGCAAAACAGGTGTGGTTATTGAGGTTAATCAAAACATAGACGTCACAAAGTACAAGGTCACCCCGCTACTGGTAGCATTAGGTTGTTGTGACAAATAAAATATATAGTGGACTGCGTGGAATACCCGGCCTGGCCAGTACACCAGTGCCAGCGAGACAAGATGACTGATTGAAAGCAACAAACAAAATAATGTTACGGATTTCCACTCCTCGAGACTCCTTCTTCTTGATGGCTGTAGTTGTACACAGCAGCAATTGTTGTGACGAGCGTGAATGCATTCTGGGTTGTTTCCCATGCAATTTTGTTTTCAGATTGCACGCTATGTGCAACACAACGCATGGCAAGTATGAAAGATCTCGGTCTAAGCTGATGCCGCCCTTCGCATACTCGGTCTTTCTCTGGGCTCTGTTTTCACTCTCTAAACATTGCTTTGTGAAAGCTCAATATTTGTTAGCAGGAGCAAAAAAAACACCATTTGAAGCAAGGCAAAGAAGTAGGGGAGGTTATTCACCGTCGATAACTCAGTCACGGGTGTACAACTCGAACCATCAAAGTGGAAACCACACATTTTAAAAAGCTCATAAGGGAACCCTGTACTCATGTACCGAAATGTGCAGTAGTCATCTACTGAATGTGACGAAGAGAGTTGCACGAGCTGGCTGGCTATTGGTCAAGATTGACATATGATTTACTCACCGACGTCACAACTTTCACAAGCTTCCATAGAACTCTGCAATCAAATCACTACATGCGTTATGGCCTGCCATGGAATGCTCATTTGTTTGACATCTCAGACCTTTGCATTACTCTTCAAGTTATTGTCTTTGTCGGTGTGAACCCAATGCACTTGAGATGGATGCCACCACCAGCTCTGACCCCAGAATCCATTCAATTTAAATCACACCGCGAGTCATGGCCCTTAAAAAAAATACGAGCGAAACAACATCTCCACAATGTTCCCACTGGAAACATTAAAGTCGAAAATTGACGTGGACTTCCATACCTTCCCCCCCATCTTTCCGTTCAATTACTTCCCAAAGCTATAAGCCCTCGAGAAGACCACGAAGTGGTTGGGAGGGCCAAAGACTAACACCAGTTAATGCATTTCAATAGCAAGCCTGCAGGTGGGCTTGTAACGCTTTCACGGATGTGCGGATTAGCGGGCTGTCTTCCTGTAAACATTTGCACTGCTAACGCTTAGGATTCAGACGTCTTTTTTGCCACAAACATCTGATCGTATGTATCCATGGGTAGGATTTCATGTCATTTGTGAACTAGCGTTACGAGTGTATATATACATGTCATCTTTTTTGTGCATGTGTGTGGAGATGGCAAGCACGCACTTGTGGATACTCAAGATGGGTACGATTATCGTCGCGTGTGAACCAAAATGCACCCATGAACGAGTGCTGATCGATTTGAAGCTATATCCACAACTGCGTGAACGCAAGCTATGGGTGCGATTTGTAAACAAATCAAAAGCTTCAACTTTATCTTGGTCCGTAATATTTTTGTTTCAATCCTCACCATTATGGGAAAACTATACATCATAGTTTCTCGACTGTTGGGGACCATTTTAGAATCAAAAAGGTACAAAATAGTTAAAATATGGCTACGACAGGTTCTAAGCGACTGTGCGTATGTATATCTATCCAGTAATTCTGCGCCTCCGCGAAGTACGGTTGGCTACGTACGAAAGAAGTTCACACATCCATACAGTATTTGTTACCTTCAAATTAATCGTTTTCTTTTATAAGGTTGCCAGGTTTGTAACAAGTGAGCAACTGTGATCTCTTCAGGGCACCCGCCTTATTTTGTGCACATGTGTACTTGTACGTTCGCAGGTGTAGGTCTGCATGTGTGCCTCACCAAGATATCCCCACAATGATCATGAATCGATTAATTTTTCCACCAAACAAACACACGCACAAACTCGTGACCGGACAAATATTAATATAAAAAAAACGCAGTTGCACTTTAAGAACTTATAATCACCTAGTGTTGTTGCACCGCACATAATTTACACAACTGAAAACATGTAGTGTTACGACTCTTCAAGGCCAGTGACCACACCCAGCGCAGAGGGACCCGATGTTGTACAGGCAACGCAAGGTTAAGGTAGGGCAGACCACAGTGCAGGCTATGCCACTCACACGTGGTAGCATGTGCGTGTGTATGTGTGCGCGCGTACCAGTGCAGTGTGTGCAGCGTGTGCAGTACTGGTGTGGAGTGCCAGCTACAGAATGCAGGTGAAGCATTTTGAAAGCCAAGGCTATTCTGTTATACTTGGAGTGCTATTAAAGTAGTGACGCACATCTACCGCGAACAGGGTAAAGGCAGCCTGTATCGCCGACTGTGAGCAGCACAGCTGTAGTTGTAGCATCGAGGGATAACAGAGACAGAGGTGTAACATAGAATGCAAGTGCTGGTGGGAGATCAGTGGGGGGGGCCTCGTGCGGTGTGTACTGGAGTGAGGGCGGTGCCGATGTGATGGAGGTGGACACGGCCAGTGCAGGAAGAGTGCTGGTGTGTGGAGGGTACGCGTGGCACCGGTGTCATGAGGTGCCCTGCTCGCCGGGCTCCCCACAGATGGTCTTGCTGTACTGCTTCTGCTGCTCTTCCTTGAATGTGTTTTTGACTTTGCCCCTCTTGAGGCCACCGTCCCTGCGGAGGCACACCGACACCGAACCCTCAGCGACCGAGGTGACGGAGCATTGCGCCAAGCTGTGGCCCGAGCAGCCGCTTTGTATCTCACGGATGTTGCGCGTGGTGCCGACATGGACATGGTTACAAAGGACTAAACACGTACATCAAAAAGAACGATTAAAGATTTTTTTATTTGAACCAGGTAAGGCCCACTGAGCTATACAGCTCTTTTTCAGAAGTGACCTGGCCACAAATGATAGGTCAACAAAGTGGTTTATCATGTAGAAATGTACAACAGTCAAATACTCTAAGCGCATGTTTCTAAATGTGGAGGGAAAAAACGGAGGACCTGGGGAAAATTCCACGCAACCACGGGGAGAACATGCAAACTCCAAATATACAAGCGTCAGGGTCGGGATCGAACTCACGAACTGATGCATGCCAGGGGATGCAGATAACATCTCGCCACCATGGCGAGATGGTAATTTACCAGTTGGCCAGGCTGACCATGGGAAAAGTAATGAAATGGGATTGCAACGTGCGAGTTGTCGAGTGCCGTTTACCACAGCAAGTCGACGAGGCCACCCTGGCTGGCAATCTCGGCTTTAACGCGATTGGCAAACTGCACCGCGTCCTCATCCTCCTGCAGGGCACGCACGCCGGACAATGCACAGAGCAAATGGCGATACATCGTCATCATCATCATCGTCGTCGTGTGCAAATCATTTCTCTTTTCAATATATATAAAATATTTGTCAATGTGTATATCAGCATGTCATATCTATGGGACCTTTTTGCCAGTATCAAAACAATGAAAAAAATAAGAATACGCTTTAAAATGCATATATTATGACAGCATGTTTGTTTGCATGTTTTACCACAAGTATGTGTGGTTAATGCAGACATGATGCCTTGCAATTGTAATGTTGAGAAGAGTTTTAAGTGCTCAACAGATGCCGTTGGAAAACACTTATCCGGAGGCTGGTGGACCAAACTGTACACCAGATCTTTTTTGAGTGGTAAAACACAACATTGCTCCCCCTCATTTCAACTGCGATAATTTGTCAGCTATTTTGCCAAGGCTCACCCCATGGCGATTTATAAATGCACAAACGCAAGCTCGATCAAAGAAACAAGTCAAAACAAATTTACCCTGCGCGTCATGGGGGGAAGGTACCAGACGTTGCACACTATGGCCCAGCTGCTCATCATCCTCAGAAGGTAGTTCACCATGCCGTACTTGCTGCTGTTCCAGAAGGCATCTCCAAACTGCGGGTCGTACTGTCAAGCGGCGCAGACGAACACACATGCGCACACACATACATGATTACGGCTGTGGCGATTAATAGACTCAAATTGTAGTCATCTTATTTCTTTTCGTGGACGATTACTCCAGCCCCATTTATTGTTGGCGGCCGACCGACTGCTTCTGGGAGGTGGTGAATCCCCCAAGAAGCCACGTCTACCGTGACATGACCGATGATGTCGATAACTAAGGCAAGCGCCACCCATCACCTCCTGTCCATTGGGAACAGAGGTAAGACTTCGTTACCTACAATTTTGTGTTATCCGATTAGCCGAAGAATTGAAAACCTAATTTGTAGAGGTCTACACACAATTTCACAATATGCCAAACTGCTTTTTGTCTTTAATTTGTTGTACTTCCTCCGATCCTCTGATTATCACGGTTGGCTACGTACGGTGCGAAAGAAGTTCAACATACATACATATGACAATGGATATACTAAAGACACATTCATGACCACACATTAACATAACTGAAAGTGTCGCTGTGGCATATCAATGAATGACATGAGACTGGACTTGAACATATATCCATGTAAAGCCCTTTTTTAAATTGTACTGCTAGACTAGGATGTCTGAACGCCGTGCGGATCATGGCAGTTATTTGACCGGACTTTACTTCGCTCGTCAGTGTGGGCTAGTGAAGACGAAGAGCAGCTCTGGGAGCATAGAAGTACCTTACAACGATGGATTGTTCTGCTCTGCCCGCTGCTAGCCACAACGTTGTCCAAGCACTACTCAGGCTTAAGTCTGCTTAGCTTTCGAGATTTGGCGAGATCTTGTACATTCCAAGTGATTTGTGTCATAAGAAAAAAGTTATTGATGATTCATACCTTGATGGCCACAGGGTAGATTGTCCCTTGGATTTCAAAGCTTCCCTTCTTGAACATCATGACCGATGTGTTGTTGATGCAGGTTCCTGGTTCACACACACACAAACACGCAACTCCATCAACGGAATGTATCGAGGCAGGAAATTCACTCTGCCAGTCAATGGGACCCCACCACCATCTCTGTCACTGGGCACATCTGTTTATGGGCTATGTCTGGATAATATATTCGATGTGTGCTTTTACTTATAAAAGTAACGTGAACTTCTGTGATAAACAATATATATGACTAATTAAAGAGGATTCAAATGATGATGGAAAATTAGTTTCCTGCTGCTCGGTTAATTTACTTAACATGAATACGTTATGCAACACAATAATTTAATTGGATCAAGATGTTTAACGTTGGCTCTCTTGAGCCAGAGGCATAGCTGCAGAATTAAATGGTTTGAAATTTTCGTGACTGAAAGGATTCATACTCTTTGGTTTTTTCGTTAAAGTCACGTAGGTAAAAAATAAAATAAATGAAAACAACTAAATTAAATCACGACGTTTCGGGCGCAACACAAGCGTCCTTCTTCAGTTGGGGACAACGTAGGGAAAGCCATCTCTGAAACACACTTCAGCGGTTGTGCTTAAGTGGTTGTGCTTAAGTGGTTGTGCTTTCGCTACGTTGTCCCCAACTGAAGAAGGACGCTTGTGTTGCGCCCGAAACGTCGTGATTTAATTTAGTTGTTTTCATTTATTTTAATTTTTACCTACGTGACTTTACCGAAAAAACCAAAGAGTATAATTAAATGGTATTTAGTTAGGAGAAAAATGTGCACACTGACAAAAAAGTATCGAAAGGAATAAAAAAAAAGTTTATTTCAAAAAGTAATAAAAAAAAATGATATTGTGGTGAAACAAACACCTTCAGGAAAGATGAGTATTGGAAGCTTATTCTTGTTGGCCACATGTTCACTTAGCCTGAAATAAGAACACACAACCAGAAGTTATAGGCAATGGCGAATACACATGTTGCACCCTAATAACGATCACCTAAGTGCAATGGTTGGAAATAATTATTGTCTCTTATGTGGACTTAAGTGTGAGAATAACCTCTGGAATGTGTGGAGATTGTGTTTTCTATAACATACAATTTCTCAGATATTTCCATCAAATGTTTAAAATGTAACTTTAGGGGCACTTTGATGATTTTGTTGTTGTTTATAGCTAGAAACTATTCTCAAATAAAGGTCTGGTTTTATCACAGATTCAAGTACAATTGTATGAATAGTGTTAACTAAACCTAAGATGAAAAATGTCTTCACTTAAATGCCTAACCATGTTGCAAGGTAAACAAACGCTATACCCAATGTTGAACAAAAAGATAATTCACTTTATACTTTTCATTATCATCATCATTTAATAACATGTAATACCACACCTCTCTTGCAGTACACATTGACGTGCCAGAGCACAGGGTTTATTTGAGAATATTACTCGTTAAGGAAGTGGTTGCTGACCAAAGTAAAAAAAAGCCACGATATAAATAATATACATAACGAAGGAAAGAGCAAAAACTGAAAAGTTAAAATGTGTTTTTTTTTCCCACTTCATTTGAGTTAATCGTGTGGAATCTGAAAATAACCTATTTAACATCCGCTTAAATAGATTAATTGTAGGCGCATCAATAATATTTCCAGGAAAGCTGTTCACACTTTAGTGCGCCGGTCGTGTAATAAAAAAAAAACATCTATTACTGACAACAAACAATCAAATGAAAGGTACCTTTTTGTGACCAGATTCCGGTCCTTGATCTCAGAACGCTCAAAAAAGACATGGGGGCAGGCCTTCACGATGGCCCTCTGTATGACCCCCATGAGGCCACCGTGTTTCTGCCCCACCTGCCACCAACACATTCAATAAGTTACACAACCATCGCGTATCGGGTTCAAATAACACCAAGGGAAATGAGGCACACTATGTATGTTGAACTTCTTTCGCACCGTACGTAGCCAACCATGCTAGTCGTTATTTCAGTTGCATTCCCAAAGCAGAATTTGGATTATGCAGGTTTTCCAATCAATCCAATGACACTTGCATTTGTTAAATATATCCAAGACCTGCTTTCTTTGAAACAAACATTCCCATTAGCAAGAGCTGACACGAACATTTCATCTTATCTTAACTTCCCAGAAGTGGCCAACAGATCATGCTACAATGTAAACAATAGCTGTATCAATGCAGCTTCTGGTAAAAAAAAAAGAACGTGGATTATATCCACCAGATTCAAGCGAGAAAGTGGTGGTTGTTGGTAGGAATTGCAGCAGTGCGTTCATACCATGGCGTAACAACGGTCATTGGCCAAGATAATGACGTCGATCGGTGATGTGTGGTTGGCAACACAGATTCCACCTTTCTTTGGCATGTTCTCCCTAATGAAACAGACACAATCGCACAAACAAGCACAGACAAAGCACCCCCAAGAAAACGCATACCATTAGCATCACACGCAAGCATTTTCTAAAGCAAACGAACACCGACCTTCATACTGTTATGGTACGCAAGTCAGTCCATATATATTTATTTTTAAAGTCGTTTCCTGTGTTCATTGTCATCATTTGTGCTCAGGTTCCATGTACGGCTATATGTCGGCTGTGCCAATACGACTGTAAAACTTTGACAAGTTTCCCCCCTGACGAAGGAGAAGTGCGCACACAATCGTACAATGCACAAAAAACAAACACCACGAGCAAACATGTACCACAAGCATCACGCACAAAACTTTTAAAATAAAGAGAAATGTACACTGGTCCTTATCCTGCTGCAGTACAATGGCGTGGGTTGGTTTCGACATTTAATTTAAAAAAGTCGTTTCCTCTATTCAGCGTCACCATTTGTTCTCTGGCTTCATGTCCAACTATGTGTTGGCTGGACCTAAACCACTGTAAAATGTAGTTCATGGGAGTTGTTTAAATCATTACTTCAAGTCAAAAACTCACTCCCCAAAGAGGATTAAAAGTATGGTTTGTCGGGATGTACCGCAGGTGCCTCGTGAACGCAGAACCAGCTCACTTGACGACACCGTGACTAAAATAGGCGTCTTATGATGTCACTGGATTAGGAATCTAAAACTGTAACCGGGTGATTAATATAGCAACAAGACTAACATTACAGTGACTGGAAATATAAACGCAAGACGATTTACTCAGAAGTATATATATTACATCCACGTCCTACAAGGGAATATATATGATAATTAAGGGGCATGTGCTGAAATATATATTTATTTAAACCTCACAAAAACTTAAAGTCCAGAAAAGTAGGATTGTGTTGAATGTGAGCAGTTTAAGTTGAGTTTGTTGTCCTTTCCCCGCACCTGCGATTAGCACGGTTGGCTATGTAGGATGCGAAAGAAGTTCAACATACATACAAGTTGACAAAGTGGGTGAATTATCACCTTAATTGTGCAGCTATCTGTGGGGAGATGGTACAATAGACGTCAGAATTTTATCTTAATGAAGACAAAATGGCGTATCTAACATAGATATAGATTTCTATTTAAAGCTCTCGTGACTGCAGGGATTCATATTCTTGTTTATTTTCGTAAAGTCACGTAGAAGGGAAATAATAAAATAATAATTAAACATAATAAAATAGAAATTCTCACGACGTTTCGGCCACAACGCAAGCAGCTGTCCTCAGGTGAAGAAACAGAGCTGTCGGAAAGACAGCTGTCATCTGTGGATGGCTGCTTGCGTTGTGGCCGAAACGTTATGAAATTTTTATTATGTTTTACTTTTATTATTTCCCTTATGACTTTATCGAAAGAACCAAGAATATAAATATAGATATATAGGTTACCAAGTTTTTGCAGGTTCCCTCTCAATTTTAACATTTCTGAATTGATCATTGTAATTTTTTTTTTATAATAATCTGGTCAAGCCAATGACAGCCGACAGAATCCCAATCGAGAAACAATTGGCGAGTAGAGCTGCGGCGGTCACCGATTGTGGTAGGAGATGATTGCAGTGAGGGCGCGGGCACAGATCCTCATGCTCATGAGATGAACTTGATCGCTCAGCCACTCCTTCATCCTGCGAGACAGGCGGGTAGAGAGAATTCAGACATCTGGTGCCACATGCACACACACTCACAGACCCACGTTACAGCAACAGAAGCGGGATTGAAGGTGGTGGAGGAGGGGGAGTCAAGCTTTTTGCTTGAGCCCACTTGCATTTGCCTCGAATTGTTGCTGTTTTTACCTTTTCTCGAAGAGTATCACCAGAGATTCACACTTTACAAAAGTCATGTACAGCCCTGTTGATAAGGGCCTCCCCACACCATCCGGTTGTGGGAGTTGTTTAGACATATTTCTCAACACTGCTGAGTGTCAGTAAAGGTAGGGAGCAAAAATGTAGCAGCATAGAAGTACAGTACAAGACAAAATGTTGCTGCAATGACCTCTGATGTCTGCATATGATGGTTAGCATGGCTACCTTCTGAAGCCTTCCAAAGCGATGATTTCACATTTTAAGCAAAGACAAAATATGAGAGATTGTATTTCATACACATATTGACCAAGTTTCCCTTTGACCTGACATTTTTGTAAAGATGCAGTTTTTCCACCCACCATGCATTGTCAACTCACAAAGACGATGCCATTGCAGCCATTTCATCATGATGCCATCCAATTATATTATTTCCTAAAATTGCCTTTTGTAAAACCTGATTAAATTCAGATTGTGTTGTATATATATCTTTGAAGTACGTTATTTTCTGGTTCAAAAAAATAATAATTGGGTCGAACAATATGCTTTAAAGAATTACATCGTAACGAATGAGGATGAGCCCTTCACATTTGGCTATAAGTTTTTTTAGCCAAGCAGGCATAAGTTATACTAATATTAATATCCATCAAGTATTTATCCACAAATCTGGCTGTCGCCTGATGAGGATGGTTGTAATTACCAGTGAAATGTCGTACACCAATTGTAAATGTTTTGGGTTCACACTAGCAGTAACGAATTTGAGCCGTTTTGTTTCCGTGACAAATCTTACTAATCGGCTTTGTCGGGGGGTGGTTAAGCAATCGAACCCAAAAAAAAGCCTCGATTATGGATATCAAAGCAATGTTGTCCAGTAAAGCCACAATGAGTCTCGAAGCTCATTCAAAGGGGGGTGGGTTCATCCGACTTATAATGTTCAGGGGGTCGGTCTGACTTATAATGTTCTTGCAAACTAATTTCCAGAATTCAGAATGTGTCGATTACTTCAACAAATGCACCGTGTACAAAGTTGCTGCGACAGGCAGGCCGGCCCGAGAAAAAGGGTGACTCCTTGCAGCTGATAATGCCAACAATGGCAAATGCTTCGAGATGATGGAAATATCATCTGAAAAAAGGCCCTCAGAATTTACTCACTTAAAACAACAAACAGCGTTGAGAATGATACCAACAGCTGAAGAGTTGGTAAGTTTTTTTCATGGCAAGGATTCAACGAAGGTTTTTAATTAAGATGCACAGTATCAATAGAGGACTAGCCTTTGGACCTCATCTCTATATTGCAATATATTCAAGCACCAAGCCAGCACGAACATGGACCTAACTTGGTACATTCAGTCAAAGACTTGTTAAGTCTATTACATAATATGCAGACATGATTCCTTGCAAAAGGTTTCAAGTTGGTGTTTTAACATCTTAACACCTGTTTTGTTGCCAGAAAAAAGGGGAAAACCTATTCTCATATTTTGGTACTTGCAAAGCAGGTCCCATTACACAAACTCTTCAAAACTAAATATTTTGACAAAAGCCATGGAACGATTCACTTCTCTGGCAACTTAATGAATTGTCAAGATTCAGGATCACGATTAAATGTAATAATCATCTTTTGGTTTGCTTTTTTCCCCATTACATTCTATTAACTTTCTCATTTGCTCCATCAGATTTGCTCATTAGCATCGACACATTGGAAATATTACTTTGATGAAGTGTAAGTAATCTATTCTTAGACACAATTCAAGGTATGTATCGATTTAATCGATGCACACTCCACAGCAGGCAATGGCATATAAAAATTCACTCACCCCACCAGTGATTCGATAAATTGTCAGAATTTGGGATACTAATGCCATACTTTCTTCGATACAATTTTACCGTCTCAGTAAAATTGTTTACCACGTGCATATACCTGGATTCACTCTTCAACACACCGGTGGGCTAAAGTAGTTAAGTATTTGTCTTTTGTCAACGTGAGACTTTTTTGCCGATTGGCCGTGTCGGGTGGTGGAAGGTTACGACACATTTATAAATAACGCGATCTAACCCAAAAACGTTGATTATGAATAAATCTTATATTACATGCACAGTTGGATGCAAGCAAGAAGGAAGCATGAGAACACATTTTTATCAGCTTATATCAATGCATTGTTGCATTATTACCCCATTAATTTCCAAGCGGACAGCCTGCTTATAAGTTTTGAAGGTGCAAAAATGTGCGGCTTCCTCCTACATTATAAGCTCCCCTACTCGTTGACAACCGTAAAGTGCGAAGCAAGTTAAACATGGGTCTGGTTTGGGTGCAATTCTACTTTCATCGTTAACAGCGGCAGTACACAGCCTCCACAGACAAGGGGGCATAAACCATCAAGCAAATTCCGGTTACACTCGCAGCAGCTTTTGGTAAACCATTGAACAAAGACGATCACTACATCGCGCGCTTCCAGATGTACTTATGCGGCCGTTTCGAACGCTCTTCCTTCGAACATTAGGAAGCCACTGAAGCTATGCTTTTTTAAACTATTTTTTTTATGATTTGTGTTTAGATTGTTCTCCTTACCCTACACCTCCGATTAGCACGGTTGGCTACGTATGGTAAGAAAGAAGTTCAACATACAAACATTCAGGTGCTGTTAATGTTAATTGGACCAGGGTGCGAAGTCAACCGTACACAAGTGTGGGTACTCACTTGCCCTCGGGGAAATAGCCGAGAACCGTAGTGCTGACCACCAGCCAGCCAATGCCGATAAATGCCAAAGTCACCCTGAAGGGAAATAAAAATGAACACGAGTTGACAGAACAGCACCAATAAAAGCAGCGTTAACCCGGCGAGTTTGAGGATAGGTGCGAGTTGGAATGTTCAGCAAAAGCGCTTCTCATGACCACGTGTGTTAAGAATCTCCCAGACCACCGTGGCCACCTAATTTCAGTGAAACACTATTATTTAGTTTATTACCTAATCTTGCCAAAAGCCATGCACCCACCACAGACCACCTGTGTGATGTGGCAGGTGGCGGTGCGCAGCACTAGACGTGGGTTTTGCATTCCTTCAATAACATGCCCGGACCAGCAATCTTAAAACAATTGTTTGCCAAACCGCACATTAGGGCAAGAATTGAATACAATTAATGTAGTTGGTGGTCAGAGTTGAGGAGTAATGCTCAACGAGAAAGTTATGCATCTCTCTCCTGTGGTTTTCTGTCCTGGGGAGCACAGCCCAGATTAAACAAAGAGAAAAAAACACCACGGATTATATATTTTTCCAAAGTCACCATTGCACGCAAAACGTCTGATGGTCCGATTATGGGGAAAAGCAATTACCATGCAAACACGAACATCTTTAGCAATACCCATTTATGAGGATTTGCACAAACAGATGAGAAAATTTAAAGCAGACCGAGCGAACGGTCAGAGTCATGTTGACACTGCCCACCGATGTGCACTGGGACCTTGACCTGACAAAGAACAGAGCTCGGTGCCTTCGTATATACCCCTTTCCACTGCCACATCATCCAAGCCATGCCAGGACCGTTCCCAGGCAGGCCCTTCACGGGTCAGGAGCCACAGGTTGTTTTTCCAGAAAGCCAATTTGTGTTGCTGACATCGCATCCTTTGCATGGTGTGGAGTGGCGATGCCATGTTGCAGTTCCACCTTTTCTCACGGTGTACCGATGTCATGCACGCCGAACGTTGTTATTAAACTCTGCCCTTGGTCTTACTGGGTTCTGTTAACAAACAATGGCGGGCTTCCGTAGAGCCCAATGTGTTCTCTTACCAACTATTCCCTTGGTAACGACAGGCTGTTGTAGGTACAGTAAATATCAATTAATGCATTGATTAACCAGGTTTCTTTTAATAGTGTGTTTATAATTTTGTTAGTATATTTATATATTAATATCCATTGTTTAAAATTTATAATATATGTTTCTTGGGTGAAAAAGTGTAACATTCGATGCGATCGGAACAAATTAAGCTTCTAACATGTATTTCCTATACTCGCTTAAGGACCAAATCACTCAACAACCAGTTTCGTGGAACCAACTACCGTCGTTAAGAGGGGTTCTACTTTAGATTCAATGGTCTTGTCAGACCAAGGTGTATCATGGTCTGTTCACGGCATGGCATATCACAAGTGTAAAAAACCTGTACGGCGAGACCCTGTGAGGGCTCAGCTGATATGTGCCAGTGGAAGGGGGACATTAGTGGCTGCCCACTTAAAAGGAAAATAGTCAAGAGTGGTTTCCCATTTATTCATGAGCATGCGTTGGCGCACATATCCTATTGACAGCGCCAAGATAGTGGTTAAAATTCCACATTCCTATGGTGGGGCGAGTCGATCCACATTTATTGCCATTCTGCTCGTACTTTCCTTGCAATAGAGACATTGAGTCTCAAAGGGCTCCCACCTGGTTAGAAATAAATCAGACAAAGAAAACAAATCAAAGGGATAACGTTCCACCAGGAGTTAAACTATTGCGGACTGGGAATGATAACGATTGCATCACATGGCCAGTTGAATCCACAAATTGGCTGACATTTAAAATTCTTCATCATCAATATCCCCAATTAATCAACTGCTGAATGAAGACCTCCCAAATCCATCACCATCACTCATAGTCTTGCCATGATCCAATCCACCAAGCATCTGCATATGATCTGATTTCATTGCTCCATCTTTGCAATGGAAGTATTTTCTGGCGCATTTCCTCCGTTGGCTGTGACTCCATCATTGTTCTCAACCGCCAGCAATCATCTCTTCTAGCGATGTCCTACAAAAGACCATTAACTTTCACTAAAAGTAAGGAAGATGTTTTTAATCTGCATTCATTCTCAAATCCATGCGTTCCTCTGTCTCTCTCAATGTAATTCAAAGCATGCACCACTCTATGCTACTGTGCACACCCCTTTCAGCTCTACTCCATTTCCTTAACCTTTTCTGCTTCTGATCCATAAGGCACAGCAGAATACGTGGATCTAGGATAGTTATTGAAGGTGGACTGAGATCACAATGATGAAAGAAGTGGACGAGAACATATTGGGGCGCATTCAAGAAGGTGAAATTAGCGGTGAAAAATTAACATGGCAAAGTGCCGAAAGAAGAACGTGTTAAATCGGTGTGTACTACGTGTAAAAATACATTGTGCTCCAAGCTACAATAAAAAAAAAGGAGAGAGTGCACATCGCAACATATACAGGCAGGGCCAGATTTACATTTAATGGGGGACCCAGGTCTGTTAGTTTGGAGGCCCCTCTGTTTATTCAAATTCCTTCCCCTTGCTGTTTTACAATCACCTATGCTCGATGCCAAACTCTCCATTGCTATTTACCTTGATTAATTCAGTTCCGGTTTTTCAGTGTTAAATACAAATTTCACAGCTAATTCAAAGTTCACATTAACAGAGATTTTCACATTTTGGCACAACTGGTAGGCATACATATTGTGATACTATCGCTTTATTTCCCAAATTACCTATAGAATTTTATCATCGTGCATTCTCAAACATCATCAACATCAGCCATGGTTAATGCACACCTGGAAGAAGGTCTCACCAAGAGGTCCCCACCTCCAACAATCCACCCAGAACCTGCACATCCATCTCCTTGGTGGACGTCTATCTCGGCCGCATTCCATTCCTTACTCTTGAACTTCTTTCACACCGTACGTTGCCAACTGTGCTAATCGGAGGTACTCAAACATTATAAATCGTTATGCATTTTTGATGGCCCCTCAGAATCCCGAGGCCCCAGGCCGCCGCTTCATAAGCCTCTGCATCATCCGGCCCTGTCAACGGTGTTGGGGGTGGGAGGCGTGGAGGGAGGGGGTAGGTGGAGGGGGGGGCACTGACCGTAGTGGCAGCAAGAAGCCGTATCTCACGGCGACGCCGAGGCCCCACAGGACGGTGAGACGCACGCTAATGTACTGGAAGTAGTTGTTGGTGCGAGTGAGCAGGTTCCACGACTCGATCTCCTCGGCCGTGAAGCGCTTGGTCACGTCGTCCTCAACGATGGCCTCCAGGCCCTTGCGGCAGAAGTAGAACGTGTCGGCGAGGCCGAACTCGGGCGCCGGTTCCCCGCCCACCGCCAGCCGCCCCTTGGCGATCTCCTCCTCCAGGCTGCTCTCCTCCACCTTGACGAGGATTCCTGCGACAGACGACGACGACTTTTCTGGCATCCCAAAAGTACAACTGGACATCTGTGAAACTACTGGACATCTGTGAAAGAACTTTATAGCCAAAATTAGAATATTCTGATTCTGACTTGCGTTCGAGGAGGGCAGGTATCGTCTTGGTTCTTTCGGTAAAGTCACGTAGAAGGAAAATAAGTAGACTGTCTACTTGACAGACCTGTTCTCCACCTGAAGACGGCTGCTTGCGTTGTGGCCGAAACGTCGTGAGAATAATTGTATTATGGTTTATTTTTATTATTTTATTATTTCCCTTCTACGTGACTTTACCGAAAGAACCAAGACGATGAATCCCTGCAGTCACGAAAGCTTTAAATCGAGGGCAGGTATGTCTGCAATTTTTCGAGAGATACGGTCGCCGGTTCTTTCTACGCCACCTCTATCCCGAATCACCCTATATGTATGTTGACTTAAAGAAGTGCTTGTGAAGTGCGTTCAACACAAAGTGTTAAGAAATGCAATGGCGGCATTTCAGAAGCCACCTGCTAAAAGGAGAATGTGCGAAGTCTTTTTAAGCGAGTATTTTTTATAGCCGACTCTAAATGAGAAGTTAGCAAGCCATAAAAAGCATTAAATACTACCGACCTGTGACCAGTTATTACAGTGATGTTACATAAACGTTTATTTTAATGGTACACAATAATAATAAAACAATTACTTGGTGTCACCATCACAGCCATACATATTTACAATCTTGAATTATTTTTTATCATAAATTATTAACTCGGATGAATCAGATGTGTGAGTAACGCAGAAGAGACATGCCATTGGCGGGTGAGAAACAACGAATTTAAAGAACGTTAATCCTACAGCAGTTTCAGCAACGAGGTATTATTATTTCACAAGCTATACAAAAGCATGCCACGATATTCACATTTGAATGACTGTACAAATGTTAAAACAAGTCAATGACGGCTGCATCATTTATCAAGCACTTCAGAAGCAATCGCCATAAGAGAACTAGCAGCTGTGCCTACAGTTTAAATGATTGTACTGCAATAATTTAGTTTGTGCCTTACTTAGGCGGTTATTCATTGTACACCTCATTAAAGGCCACAGATCTGCTCGTGAAAGGAAGTCCGGTGTGATTTTCCCCAAAATACATTTCCCAGATTATTGTAAGAGTGTGAAAATACAGCAACAACAACAGTCTGTGCTGCGGACCAAATGTTTATGCAAGATCACGTTTACACCAATTAGTTTAATAGAATTCAAGTTAACTCAATTACAATGTGTATAATACACAAGTAAAACACGACACCGTGTGAAAGTGAAAATAACACCACAAGCACGACCAACAAGAACATTATTCCGAGTTTAGTTCTGGTATTAACTCTTCTCGCACTTGTCGAGTCCCTTCGGCAAGTCACCGAATGGTTGGACGCACGCAGACGCCTGTAAAACGTCTCCCTGTTCTTAATTTTATAGCAAAAAAGTTACCGGCTGTCAGATTCTAATTCATAACCTATATTGCATTGAACACAAGCACAAAAGTTTAGTTTCATCACCAAGAATAACTCGATGAGTATCAAAACACTTATCAATGGCATCGACCTAACATCCCAAAGCAGGAAACTCCTGAAAATGAGGCTTGAGACTCACCGCGACTTTTACTGGCTTAAACAAAGGGCGTTTTTATCACTATTAACACATTGGACACGTGCATAGGAAACTTTTTCAATTGGAAAACATCGGGGGGAGGGGGGTGGGTGTTTGGTAAGCAGTGGGCACCCACTCACCATTGGAGTTGGTATTGTACGCCTTGTGCTTCGATTCCTTGATGCCACGCTCTATCCTCAAGGTGGCCCACTGCAAGGACACACACGTCACGAGGTTACGCCATGGCAAAGCACGCAAAAGCCCATTGCGCCACGGTGATTCACACGCAAGATCTGTACGGGGAACTGCGCGTGGGGCAACGGTGAGTCGTGGTGGACCAAACGGTGACTCCGCCACTCCCGCACTTCCGACAAAAACCCGATCCACGTGTCGCTCGGTGCCATGAGGTGTGCCCATCGCCTGTGCGTCTGCCTTGCGACACACAGGATTTTTTTTCGTAGGACCAATAAAGATGCAATCCGGGCTCACAATTGCTTTACAGATGCAAACGTCGACCTCGTCATCCTCGCCTACAGGGCACAACCTACTGTAAAGAGCTTTAACAGCATCTGACACATGGCAATTATGCAATGTTTTAAAGGAACAAAAGTGACAACGCCTTGGAAAAATACTTCAACAGCTGAATAGGCTGATTTTTTACTCCTGAATGGCAGCCAAAAAACAGTTGCCGAGTGTTTACAATTTTCTGTAGATGTTATGATACATCATTCATATACATTAAATTTATATAGTTATACTGTACACATGTTTGCTAAATTGTCTGCATGATTCACAAAAAACATGTTCGGCTTCAATGACAGGGTTATTCAATCAACAGGGAACTGATTCCATAGTTCAGACTTTGTTGTTAGACCGTAACGCATGCCTGTGAAGTTGGACATGGTTGGACGGGGGTCTAACAAATGCAAATATCTCTTTTATAGTCTGTAACAGACTCTTGAGGCAAGTGCTGTGTGCAAGCACCTATGAAAGCCGGCATGGCGCACGAGGGGGTGGGTGGCCAGCACCATGACGAGAGCTGCCTTCTTACTCCCGAGCGCCAATGTTTACACACCACACCAAGTACTCAATTGAGGCCGAGTCTACCTAGGAGAGGCCTAGGACCGACTCAGATAATCCTCACTAGGTGTTGGCTATGAGTGGGAATTGAATCTCGGTCGCCGGGCTCATATCGCAGGAGGCTAACTGTTGCAGTACTGCTCTAGCAGACAAAACACATGGACTGAGGCTTGACATCTGTTCATTGATGCACATTATTCATTACCAGTATACAATGCAGCTGCACTCATTCAAGTGACAGCAACAGCTTGCAAAGTTGGCTCCTTTATTCGCAAACCAGGGTGAATATTCAAATGCATCCAAAATAGGACAACTTCATATGTAGAAATATGTACACATTTTCTCACGTGCTGCTGAACAAGAGGCTGCCATGGCATGTTTAACAGTGAGATTTAAGTGCCAGGGTTTTGTAAATCGGAAGAACGGCAAAAAAACGTTCTTAAATTCAGATTTGGGTGAGTTTGGCGATACGCTTACGAGCCATCCCGCGAGTAAAGTAAAGCCTGCAGGCGGAGGCGTTAGGATAAACATTGCACAAAAAGAATGCGATGACGACTGGATAAACGGGGATGACGACTTGTCAAGTGGCATTCGCTGGCCCAAACAAAACAGTTCACGGGGTCGCTGCCGGAAGGCGCTCCTTTTAAAAAGGGATCGTCAAGAAAAAGGAATCCCCCTACCAAGACCCCACCACCCTTTGCTCTGAAGGGAATTCTCTCTCTTCCCATAAGAGTACTTGTTGCTTAAACAGGGGAAGATGAATCGGGAAGGAGTGTGCAGATAGGAACTGTACGTATCCTGCACTCGTTATAAGTGAAATTATTGGATGCGTCAAGAGACTTGTTAGAATGAAGCTACTGTACTAGTCTGTAATAACAGTCACCTCCTGGGATGGTGTTTGTAATGTCTTGCACAATTATAAGACTACACATAACAGCTCTGAAAATGTGAAATCATTCCACATTCCAAATACAAATTTACAGAAATTTAGCCATAAAAGCAAAATACATTAACTGCAACCATCTTAACGTTCATTCTTCCTTCCAGCAGTTTTTCCACCATCATTTTTTAAATCAACGTTGCAGAGATTGGATCCGACACTGTAATCATTGTGGATAAGGGTCATGTGACTGTGCAGTGTGGGCAACTGTGCGAGTGGTATATGGGGTGAGATGCAGTGTGGAAAATCGTGTGTACTTGAGTGTAGTATTAGAGAGCAGTGGTGTTGCGGTTAGTGCTACACTGCGCTACGAACCCAGCGACCCGAGTTCGATTCCCGCTCACGGCCAACACCAGTGACGATTATATGAACCGGCCCCAGGCCTCCACTCCGTCGACTCCGCCTCAATTGAGTACCTGGTGCAGTGGGTTAACATCGCCACTAGGGAGACAAAGGTGGTCGGGCGTGGTTCTAGCCACCTACCCCCGAGGTGTGCCATACCGGCCTTTATAGGTGCTACTCGCTAACAGCACTTGCCCCAACAGTCTGTTACAGGCTAAACGGGGGATCTTTGTTTTGTAGTATTGCTGTATGGTGTGTAGCCGGTGTGTGATGTGGTGGGGTAGTGTTGTTGTGCATGCCATAGTATGCTATGTAGCATGGTATTTGATTGGTGTGCAGTTTGGCCTATGGTTTAATTAGGATCTACAATGTAAGTTTTAACCGTCACATGATGAACACTCAGTGGCATAGCCAGGGGGAACATTGCTGCATGCTACTGCGGACTCAGACGTAGGTCTGCGATGTTTTTCCGCAGACCGTTCACCCTCACCTCGAATATCTTGAGCAGGCTGCGCATGTAGATCGTCCGGATGCCGAAGGAGATGCCGAAGGTGGCGGGCACAATGATGAAGACGAGCAGGATGGTGAGCCATACGCTCAGAGACAGCCCCAGCGCTGCCACCAGAGCACCCTGCAGCCCCAGGGTCTCCCAGCCCAACAACCACCCACAGCCCAAGTCCGATCCCATGGTGGCAGCTCGCTCGGTTGTCTGTCCACCTCCCTCACCTCGTGGGACGCTAGGACGCTCGGCCTCCAAACGCCACGGCAACGAACCACGGGGCAGGCAACGACGATGGAGAGATGAGGCTGTGCCACGGACAAGGAATGGACAGGGGTTGAGTTTTGTTTTCTATTCATCGGTGCAAAACTTAGCTGCCGTGACGTGCGGATCGGAAACGGGGACATTTGGCGAATGGGAACGCAACCGAAATGAGTGCACCCAGTTTGCATGGCGGTGGTGCATGCTCAGCAGTTTCAGTGACTGGGGAAGAAACGCAGATGGGTCATGGAGCAAAAACAAAACTTCAACCCCCCCACCCTGAATAATATACACTTGTGTGCAATATGTATAGATTTGTGTTAATATTCATCAGGTCTATTGGTGCAGAACACAGTGTAAACCGTTATAAACAACTGATAAGACGCATCAAGCGTGTGATTTTTGTTTTCAACAAATGATCTGGTATAATATCATTTGTCATTAACGTGTTGTTATGAATGACATCGATGTTAATTAGTGTAATTGTTGTTAATGTTATATTCGTATGGTTGCTTATACGTATACTCATTAACGTTAGTTAGTTAATAATATTAATAAAAGCACGCTCTGTTCACTAATGCTATTGAGGCGCTGTCATGAATGGTATCAATGTCATGAATTCGAACGATCAATGTGAAGAATGCATTATAAACAATGTTACTAGCAATAACTTTTACTTTCAATACCCACGCATTGCTGTCGACCGTATTGGCATTGAAGTGCAGTGCAACAAAATATGCCAATGATGTTGACTGTACAATGCTCACCAAAACTTAAGTGTTACAACCTCTCACTCTATAATCTATTCGAATGTTTCAAATCCTCGCACAGTCATCGATTGTATACTGCTTAGTTGTCAACCCATTACGGCTTATACCCTGTATTCTTGTACAGGACAATCGAGTTTCCAGATAAAGGCGGCCTACATCCGTTTCAACACGTGTCAATGTGTTTGTGTGTCTCCCTTGTGATGGGACTTTGTAGGTTGAACGTTGAGGTGTATGAGGCCTACGGGGTGATCAATAAGGGTCTGAATTTGTCCGTAATAAGGCAGGGGCACTGATAAGGGGTGGACATCGATGATACTGCGACGTGTATTGAATGACGCCACATCAATGATTTCAAAACCGGCATCATCCATCCATCCATCAATGTTGGATCTCAACAATTCCGAAACTTACGACTGCTCCCACCAACGTCGCTATAACAAACACCGTGGACACATTGTGAATAGACCAAGCTCTGCTTTAGACCACCACCATCATCACCACCACCAGCAGCTGCTTCACCCACCACCACCACTAGCACCACCACTAGCACCACCCCTAGCACCACCACTAGCACCACCAGCAGCACCACCACTAGCACCACCACTAGCACCACCCCTAGCACCACCCCTAGCACCACCCCTAGCACCACCACTAGCACCACCCCTAGCACCACCACTAGCACCACCCCTAGCACCACCCCTAGCACCACCACTAGCACCACCACTAGCACCACCACTAGCACCACCCCTAGCACCACCACTAGCACCACCCCTAGCACCACCACTAGCACCACCCCTAGCACCACCACTAGCACCACCCCTAGCACCACCACTAGCACCACCCCTAGCACCACCCCTAGCACCACCACTAGCACCACCCCTAGCACCACCACTAGCACCACCAGCAGCAGCTGTAATGAACACTTGAGACGAGGCGACGGGAGGGAATGAACAATTCTCGCCCCCGAGTTGGGCGAGCGGATTTTTGCCATTTGCCATCGCATGTCGGCGAACCCCAACAACGTGCATCGTCTAGAACTCTCTCCAGATTGCACATCATCAACAACATCATCATCATCAACATCATCAACATCAATATCATCAACAACATCATCATCAACATCATCATTATCAACATCATCTTCATCAACATCATCAACAATATCAACAACATCAACAATATCAACAACATCATCAACAATATCAACATCAATATCACCAACATCATCAACATCATCATAAATAACACCATCATCAACATCATCATCATCAGCAACATCATCATCAACATCATCAGCAACATCATCATCAGCTACTTTCTCTCTTTCTCACCTCCTCCGCCGCCTCCTTCAACTCACGAGGCGACCTGATGGTGGCGGCGATGGGTGACGAACCCCAATACGAGAAGACCCTCCCCCCCGCCGTCCACCTCGTCACAAGACTGCTCGGCCGCCCTGACTTAGAACAACAACAACAACAACACAACCACCACAACCACCAGCACCACCACCACCACCCACCACGTCTAGTTGCTTGTGGCAGCTTCGTGCTGCTGCCGCTGCTGCTGCTGGTGGTGACGGTGACGACTGAAGAAGCGCGCGAGGCCCGCGCGAGCGCCGCTCCCCGTCGCCCCGAGTCGCCTGTCACGAGGCCCCGCCCCTCGCCCCGCCCCTCGCCCCGCCCCTCGCCCATCGCCCCGCCCCTCGCCCCGCCCACCTGGGCGTGGCCTCGGCGCGCTCCTCCGCAGCGATTCGCTCGCGAGTTTTGAGGCACCGCGGCGAATTGTTCAACGGGGTTTCCTTTGCTGTGGGGGGGGGGAGCAGTGAGAGTGGGGGGAGTTATAGGGGGGTGGGGAGAGTGAGAGGGGGGGTGAGAGGGGGGTGGGAGTGGGGGGAGTGAGAAGGTGGGAGTGGGGTGGGGGGAGTGAGAGGGGGGTGGGAGTGATAGGGGGTGGGGGGAGTGAGAGGGGGAGTGAGAGGGGTGGGGGGAGTGAGAGGGGGTGGGGGAGTGAGAGGGGGTGGGGGGAGTGAGAGGGGGAGTGAGAGGGGGTGGGGGAGTGAGAGGGGGTGGGGGGAGTGAGAGGGGGTGGGGGAGTGAGAGGGGGTGGGGGGAGTGAGAGGGGGTGGGGGGAGTGAGAGGGGGTGGGGGGTGTGAGAGGGGGGTAGGAGTGATAGGAGGGGGGGGGAGAGTGAGAGGGGGGTGTGAGAGGGGGTGGGGGAGTGAGAGGGGGGAGTGAGAGGGGGTGGGGGGAGTGAGAGGGGGGGGGAGTGGGGTCGGGGGAATGAGAGGGGCGGGGTAACTTCTAGAATGCTCCGAACGAGTCCATTGCTTTCAAGAGCTCTTTGCGTATGGGTGGCAGCAGGGATGTTGCGTGATTGTTCTGGGGGGGGGGGCTGGGGGTGGGGGCTGTTGCTATCCACGTCGAGAGAGAGAGGGGGGGTCAAGGAGAGAGCGTTCGTGTAGTTTTGCAACTTCCCTCCGTCGAAGGAGCGTTAGACTACAGGTGGCTCGCGAGTGTGGGTGACGTGGTGCGAGTTGCCTGGCGAATAGCCCCCCCACCCCTTTCCACCCCCCACCCCTCCCCCCTTCCACCCCCACCCCTCTCTTCCACCCCTCCCAACCCCCTCCCCCACCTCTCCCCCCTTCCACCCCCACCCCTCTCTTCCACCCCTCCCCCTACCCCCCCGTCTCCCACCCCTCCCCCTATCCCCCCTTCCACCCCCCCTACCCCCCGTAACGGACCCAGAGGTGCCATTCGATGATTTAGATCCCAATGCGATGTAGTAATAATAATAATCGATTCGCGTTCGTCTCGTGCCTGCCGCCTCGTTTGTATCGCCGCGTGTAAATACCTTTCACATTGTTGGGCTGATCGCCACGACTGCTCCTGCTGATACATTCCGATTGGATTTCATTCTCGTTTTGTCGAGAGGGGAGATCTCCCCTCATCTCACGACACTCCCGCTCCACGCATTCCCCTCTTACTCTGAACTCACCCTTTTCACTCTCCCACCACTCTCACTCTCCTCTTCCCATCTCTCTCATCTCTCCTCTCCCATCACTCATTTCACTCTCCCATCACTCCCATTCTCCCATCACTATCCCATCTCATTCCACTCTCCTCTCTCCTGTCCCATCACTCCCTCCTCTCTACCATCATTCTCACTCTCCCATCCCTTTCCTCTCACTCTCCCACCACTCTCCCATCACTCTCCCACCACTCTCCCATCACTCACCCACCACTCTCCCTCTCCCCTCACTCTCCCCTCCCTCTCCCACCACTCTCCCCATCCCTCTCCTCTCCCCTCTCCCCTCCCCCTCCACTCCCTCGAGCTTTCTGTTGAAGCCCCAAGCTCATCCTTCTCTGCCATACTCGTAGCGAACTCTACACGGGGGGGGGGGTGAAGATGTCTTGCGGCTCCAAACTAATCGACCCTCACATTTTCTTCTTCTTGGTTCTTTCGGTAAAGTCACGTAGAAGGGAAATAATAAAAATAAAACAATAAAATAATTCTCACGACGTTTCGGCCACAACGCGAGCAGCCGTCCTCAGGTGGAGAACAGGTCTGTCGGAAAGACAGCGTCTGAATGAAAGCTTTAAATCGAGACCCTCACAATGTTTTTCCTTTGCATATTCCTGTTTAAAATTTTAACTTTTAAAATATTACGTTTTAGAGAGAGAAATGGGGGTCACAAGAACATCTGGGCCACCCTGTGGTTTGAAAACTCAATATTCTTGCTAAAAAGAATAGTGGCCTTAAAGGATATAAAATATAGTATAAAAGAGCCTTAGACGACGTTTCGGACAATGATTCATTCGTCAGAGCATATCTATGCTCTGAATTGTTTTTATGTTTGAGTTTATTTTAAGTTACACTGATCATCCCGTGGTATTTTACAAAGGGAATTCTTGGTGTGTAAACACAGCAGCAACAGAAGATAGTAAAACATCATAGAAAATTGGATCCTTAAGGAATATTTCACGACTATCAAAATCTGTGAAGGGCAATTGCCCGAAACGTCGCCTGTTCTACTCCCCCCCCCCCCTTATTGTCAAACACCTGAATGCAAATGTTTGTTTTTGTATATAGCTGTTGTTGTTGTTGTTGCTCTGACATCGACACGAGCTATAGAGAAGATTTCGCCCAACAACGTATTCTGAAAAAATAAAATATTAAAAGATACTTTTAAAAAACACGCTTTAATGAAATGTACTGTCCGAGCTGCCCCTCTCCCTGCCCCCTTCCCCCATCGCCCCTCCCCTCCTTCCACATGCCCCGCCCCTGGGCGTGGCTCCCCGAGGCTTGCCGTGACGTAAGGGACCGTGGTGATTTACAGGTAACGTCAGTTGAACGTGGACAATTAGAGCCGTTAAAAATATTGTTTAAAAATATTTTTTTATTTTAATGATAGAATATAGTATTGTCATCAGTATGACATAGCTATACCAAGTTTGCAGTCGATACGACATTGGGAATACGGTTGAAATTGAGTTACAAGATTTTTGGATACGACAACACAGTAAGTTAAATAAAAGAGTATAAAAAGTTAAAAATAAATGTTTTGGATTTGTTATGATAGACTACCGTGTTGTCATCAGTATGACATACCTATACGAAGTTTGCCGTCGATAGCACATTGGGAAGTGTGTACAAATTGAGTTACAAGATTTCATTTTTGAGGATACAACAGACGAAGTGAGTTAAATAATAAGAATTGGTTTTACCCTTTCTGGCAATAAAACAGGTTCGCCTATTGGCGTTTTCTGGTCTGACACTGCTGGTGAGACTGGGCCCTCAAGAAGGTTGTCTCTGATGTAGACCAATCCGTTTCAAAGACAATGCCATCCTCAACACCTGTTTTATATCCTTAAAGGGTAAAACCTTTATTATACTTTCATACTGGCAAGAAAGCTCCCATGTTGTAGCTGCTCACCCCGAGTTTATTGTTGAAATGATTCAACACACGTGTCATGTTTGTTTTATCGCTTTGATCCTGGCAAACAACAAAAAAAAGTGCCCCACCCAACGTCTCTCTTGAGTTGTGTGCAAGTTTAACACGCAGGAGGCTTTCGCGACCAATATCCATAATAGAGTTTTTTTTGGGTTAGCTTGCGTAAATATATAAACGTGTCGTCAAAACCTTGCCACCACCCGACACAGCCAACTAGTAAGGTTTGTCACGTCAACAGAACGTGGCCAATTCGTCAATGGTACAGCAACACCGGTGTGTGTTGGAGAGCCAAGCCACACCATTTACAATATTCTTGGTTATTTCGGTAAAGTCACGTAGAAGGGAAATAATAAAATAATACTTATATAAAATTTTTATTGTTTTACATAAATATTATTTTATTATTTCCCTTCTACGTGACTTTACCGAAAGAATCAAGAATACGAATCCCTGCAGTCACGAAAGCTTTAAATCAAAATTAACAATCTTGAGCACGACCTTTCGCCAGAAATTACAACCAGCTTCATCAGGCGTCAGCCACATTGGTGTAGAGAATTCCGCCTGTGTCGTCTCTTACGTCACAACGTGGTGACCCCCCCCCCACCCACCACCACCACCAACGTGCAACTTGGCAACGTCCGCGAGAGATTTCACCGCGGACCCTAAATCGTCGAATCTCGCTGCTAGGCCCAAGCGTGGCGAGGGGGTTTTCCTGCGCGGACGTCTGACGCTGACCTTCGCCTGCAATCTATCGCTTCACCTCGCTAGCTCTCGGCTCTCTGTCTCTCTCTCTTGCTCTCGGCTCTCTGCTGTGTCTCTTGCTTTCGTTTCGCCGTTGTATTCGTCATGTCTGTGCTGTGTAGAGCCACGGCTCGGGTGCTGCTCGCGGCGCAGAGGCCGCGGCTGCTGCAGAGCGCGGCGCGGGGGCTCAGTGCGGGTGAGAGCGACACTAACAGCGACACTCACACTACAACAATAACACTACAATACTAACACTGCAACACTAACACAATACTACAACACTAACACTACGGCAACACTACTAACACTACAACAATACTAACACTACAATACTACTAACACTACAATACTAACACTGCAATACTAACACTACGGCAACACTACTAACACTACAATACTAACACTACAATAATACTAACACTACAATACTACTAACACTACAATACTAACAATACAATACTAACACTGCAATACTAACACTACAACAATGACACTAACACTGCAAGAACGACACGAATACTGCAAGAACACTGTAATAAACACTGCTAATACCACTACCTCCACTGCACGGGCGAGATCGGCTCGATGCCAGACACGACACTACTAATCACACCAATAACACACATTCTGACAACACTAACACGGTAATAATACCACGAATACTATTATTGCAAGACCACTGCTAATAGTACCTCTACAGTGTGGCTGAGTGCGAAACTGCTGCTACAATACTCTACCCATAACCACAACACTACTAATAGCCGTAAGCTAACACTCCCTATAATACTAACAAACCTACAAACACTGCCCTAACACTCTGATCTAAACACCCTAACCCCAGCAAACAGTGATTAGTCTTCAGATGTATTCTCTCCCATCGCTTTCTTTTATAACACAATTCCCCGAACAATACTCTAGCCATTCCAACCCCCAACGCAACTCCCTATAACCCCCCCTTCATCATTGCCGTGGTTCTTTATAAGGCTCCCAATCTGTTGCACGTCTCGAACTCGTACCAGCCTCCCGATAAACGATTGCAGATGTGTGGCTATGAACCAGTGGTGTTCTTTGCTCGAGAAAAAAAATTGAATTGAACTTTTCTCCATTGCACCACCAACGTTGCACATCCACAGCAATTCCCTTCATTATTCTCACTCCAGTTTTGCCATTTGCAAGTCTTCCACCTTTGCGCAATTTACTTTTACATTTGATTCCTGAGGTTGCGGCTGAGCAGCGCATAAAATAGACGTTCTTATTAATTGAAGTGTGTTTTTTTAGATCAACAGGTGGAAAGTTAGTTCATAGTAAAACGTGAATTAGTAACCACGGGCTCTGGGCAATGGAGAAACAGCGTCACCAAACCTTGAAAGTTCACGATGAGACTTCTCTTCTGTATTCTAAGCAACAAACCAGTCTTCATCACCCCCTTTAAAATAACCATACCTGCTTTATAGAGCATCCTGGTTAATTAGGGTACATACGAAAACATGCATTTCACGTGGTGTAATCACTATAAGACGCTTGAGATGGAGACAGGCGCGTACAGATGTAATGTACACATCGTGTATTTCAACCTGCTGCATTGTGCTGATTCAGTTGGTCATAATCCCCTGTTGAGCTCTCGGATATTCAGTTATTCTGTGTTACTCAAAAGGACTTGAACAGTGAGATTATTTTTAAAAAATGCTTGAGCTTGTGCTAAATTGTACATTATCCACAGCTCAGCTGGCTAGACCAAAACTGTCGTGCCCAGAAGCAATTTGTATATTTGTTCCTGGGCACAAAACTTGACAATCCAGTCGAATAATGAATGAAAAAAGGAACACCAGAGACTCGGGTAACATTTAATCACACATTTAATAATGTATTTATTAATGAAGACAACGTACATGTGGTTGAAGACATTCAGTTGTAAATTTGGTTTGGTGGTAAAACAACATTTAAGCTGGAGGTACAATTTGCAGAGACAATGCACTTCACTGCTGAAAAAATTGTTGTGATATAGTATTGGCAGTGGTGCACAAGGACACGTTAGCAAAACTGAACAAATTGGTCAATAACACTGCTCTAAAAGGAATATTTTTTTTATAATAGGTGACGTTTTGGACAATAGCCATTCTTGACAGCAAACATCATCATATATGCTTGCTTAGATTCACCTACTCAAGCAAACACTGCAAGAATACATCTTATACAATTGCATTCAACTGGCACCCCACTTGGCAATGCGGATAACCCATTGAAATATGTGTACTATTTACAAGCTGGACAAGGGAAAATTCTGCACGTCTATTTCCTCGTGTGAGCAGCAGTATGTATGCTGCAATGTGTTCACAGGCGCAAAGTACGAGTACATTCTGGTGGAGAGGAAAGGAGAGGGCAACAGCGTGGGCTTAATACAGCTCAACCGGCCTAAGGCCCTCAACGCACTGTGCGATGGCCTCATGTTGGAGCTCAATCAAGCCCTGGACGTGTTCGAAGGGGACTCGGGCGTTGGGGCCATCGTGATCACTGGCAATGAACGTGCCTTCGCCGGTAAGAGCCGCGCACACACACACACGCTGTAGATGCATTTGTTCATTGCATATGCGTACTCGCATTGAAACATGCATTTTATATTTCCCACAAATTGTATTATTCGTGCCATCCGCGCCTTATCACGAGACGATGTATCGATTTGAAAATGTCACGGGGCAGTGTGTCCTCGATTTTATTTGAGGATAGCCTTGAAAGCAGATATTACAGAACTGATTCTGATATCCTGTAAAGGTTGCCACACTATAGTCGGTGTTATTTTCCACATGCCCTGTCTGCTACAGAGAAGTATTCATTGCATTTGTAGTAAAACCAATTTCCGTGTAAGTTTTTCAGAGCTGGATTTTAGCCAAAGTGAAAAGACAAATATATAACGTGAAAAAAATCCCTCCCCCCCCATATCGTGCTTGCTCACACAAGAAACCCAGTTTAATAATGATTGTCTGAAATGTGGAATCAAACCCAGAATCTCAGCGATAATGGCTCAGTGCTCTGACCCGAGACATTGGCCATCTCTGCATTGTACATCGTTCAAGACCTTCAATCGAAACATATCACGTCTCGAGAGCTGTAATTGGCCACTTAACCTACCACTCTCTTTAGGGCAGTCACATTCTTGCTCGCAGGTGTATTTTGTTGTTCAATTTTACACGCGTAATAGCTCACTTCGCTGGGTCATGTTGCTCTTTTCGTCAGCGGGGGCCGACATAAAGGAGATGCAGAACCGAACATTCGCCGAGTGCTTCGGTGGGAACTTCCTGTCGCACTGGAATCGCGTCGCCCAGACCAAAAAGCCGGTCATCGCAGCCGTGAATGGATTCGCGGTAAGCGCACGCACTGGCCTGCACTCGGGCTGCTCACTGGCTCTCGGATCATCACTGTGCTGCTTGCAAAAGAAAATCCTGTTTGGCAATAGGTGGACAACAGAAACTCGTTTATTCTGCTTCCGATTAGCAAAAAAAATTATGCAGCATCTGGTCTCTTCTAGGTCTTGTGTGTCTTCTCGCAGGAGGAATCTGGTTGCAAAACCATGCAGGGTAAACCAGATTAATCGGGGCCAGGGGAATGATGAAATGTCCCCGTTTTGAGGGTAACAGAAAGCAGACTTCTCACTCTTTCAGCAATTAAATGACATTTTTCCCTAACGTTTATTTTCTCCCATCCACTGCTTTCATCACTTGTCAGAGAACTTAATTTCTGGTTTCTGTTGTCACATGCAGAATATATATCTCAATGTTCGCGGCATTGTCGGTAGTAAACGGATGCCACAATACCCGTCATAACAATATTGAAGAGTCCACTGAACGCTGTGACTTAATGGTTTTGCAGTTGGGAGGAGGCTGCGAGCTGGCCATGATGTGTGACATCATCTACGCTGGGGAAAAGGCCCAGTTTGGGCAGCCTGAGATTGCTCTTGGCACCATACCCGGTATGCCAAATATGCATTGATACAGTGTACAAAACTCGTACAAAACCCATTTCAAAATTGCACACACTATAGTGCCCATGTTAAAATGACAAATATGTAGAATGCTCAGAATTTTTGTTATTTCTCAAGTTCATCAGATGGAGCTCGCCTGGTTATCAGCTCTCTTCAAACCACACGCATGATGCCCACATGCATATATGGTACACAGGAGATTGTAGATTTGACCCCGATGCCTGTATATTTGGAGTTTGCATGTTTCCCCATGGTCACGTGGATTTTTCTCCAGGTCCTTCGATTTTTCCTTCCACACTTAGAACCATTTGTTTAAGAGTATTTGGCTGCTGTAAATTTCCACGTGATAAGCCACTTCGTTCAGCTATCATTTGTGGCCAGGTCACTTCTGAAAATGAGCTATATAGCTCAGTGGGCCTTACCTGGTAAAATAAAAAATAGTTGAGCAGTTGAATCCTAATTTAAATTAACATGAGCAAATGTCATGCTCAGTGGGGCCCCCTTACTTCTAACAGTGTTTTTTGATAAAAAAAAATCTTCCTGAAAGGTGATGTTTGCTTAAACATCACCTTTCACAAATGTTTATTCACATGTACGGTGGGGTTTTTTGTTGTTGCAGTCAGCACATGGTACCAAGGTAGATTTTGCGAGGGCTGCCGTATCATAAAATGCGCGACACACATCGGGTGTACTGCGTACTGCACACTTGGCAACACATTACAGAAGGAAGCAAAACAACCCAACAGCTCTTATTGTTTAAACACAGGCTATCCAAACATGAGTTTGAAGCTTCCTTGCTGAGCATTTTTTTTAATCAGTCCGATGCTTTGTTGCAATGCATGCATGACATCACAGCCTTGACATTAAAATATGATTACATTATAATGCTATGATGACATGCTTGACCATAACTTTAAATTATAATCTTCTTCCACACGTTTGTCATAATTGTGGGGTCCACTGTACTTGCGAACTTTCTCTATGCCGCCTTCTCCTGCGCCGTCTCTCTTTCCGCTCTTCGGGCCACCATGTCCGCTCGCACCACATCGGCCCACTACTTTTTCTTCTGCCTTCTCTTGATCTCATACCTGTCAACCCAAACGGTTTACCCGTATTCTTGTACAGGGAAATAGAGTTTTCAGGTCCATATGGCATGCAGCCATTTTAATACTAGCCAACAAAAAATATTCTGAATTGTGTTTCTCCCATGTGATGGGACTTTGTGGGATGAGCTTTGAGATTTATAAGGGCACGGGGTGACCAATAAGGTCTGAATTGGTCTGTAATAAGGTAGGCACTGATAAGGGATTGACAGTTAGGTGATGTCTTTCCTTGCACTTGCATCACTTGCACCTTATGACCAACATTATTGGTTTGTCTTTCTTCTCATAGGAAAGCTTCAAACTCTTATTGCGACAGCTCAGGTGGGCATCAATAAGATCCATCCATAGTTTTGGTTTCACCTTTAAATGCGTGCGTGTTACAGGGGCGGGCGGCACGCAGAGGCTCACCAGAGCGGTCGGCAAATCGTTGGCCATGGAGATGGTGCTCACTGGAGACCGGATCTCAGCCCAGCAAGCCAAAGAAGCAGGTCAGACACCCGACGCTAGCTTCACTTTCTGTTGCCCACGCAAGCCTGCCAGTCACGTCACATTATCAGAATCGATTGTACATAGGAACCTTATTGCGGGACCCCGAGGTCCCGAATAAACGGAAGTCAAAATCGTAATTAATTTACTTTTGGCGACTCCGTCCCACCACGCACATAAATGCCGCGACCCACCTGGTGCGGATCATTCTGTTGTGATGTCGTCCAAGTGCAGAAGAAACAAAACTTTGAAACTTTGATTAGCGCATTGTGTAGAACTCATCGAGAGGAATAGAATACCGTATCGTTCGCCTTGAACAGACATAAAATGACGTCACAACGCAGTTTATGCGAGAGCCAGGGTCCCGCCATAAGGTTCATAACAATATGAAGAATAAAATATAAGGAAAATACAAGCAAAACTGCTCCCCAGTTTGATACTTTCGAGTTGTATGTGATCATGTGATCATGATTGAAAATGCCACTTGGTGTCTCAGTATGAGCAATGCCTTTGTGCATCATTTGTAATGAAGTAGAGAAGCATCTGTTTATTACACACGGCTATTAAACATCCTTTTTTATAGCACAAAAAAATACTCGTCACTTTTTTTAATAGACATTTTTATTCATAAATGTAAATAATGATATTTACAGCTCTTTGTTTTGCCCACAATCTAGTAAAATATTGGAAATGCCACGTCTAATAAACTGAATTAATAATTAGATATGGTTCGTGTCGCAAAATCCATGGTTGTACTGCGCTTCTATGTCCCCACGTCGATGCTATCTGCCTTCACCAATCCGCACTGACCAGCGTTGTGAAGTGTATGGCCAAATAACCCCCACGATCCGCACGGTGTGGGGACGTGCTCATTCAGCAGTGGATTAACAAAAGGGCCAGTACATGTACATTGTATGTATTAAGTTGCTCTTGCTTGTGCAGGGCTCGTCAGCAAGGTGTGCCCACCCGATCAGCTGCTGGGGGAGGCCGTGAAGCTGGGAGAGAAGATCTCGCGCCACTCCAAGCTCGTCATCTCCATGGCTAAGGAGGCCGTCAATGCTGGTACAGCTGCCGCGCAGATACAATCTGCATTATCACAGCACGCAGACTGGCATTGCTGCTCACATCTCTCGCAGCCAACGTTACGGCAAACGCAACGGCACAATCAGTAGTAGATCGTGTGCTTTGTACGCACAAATTTAAGATTGAATCTAGGATGTATTGAAGTATTTCTTTTTTTGATTTGCTTGCCTTTCCTATCCTTTGCACTCCGTTTGCGTTTTGTACCGTTTGTTGTGGTAACCTTCTGACCCGCCTCTACTGGACATCTGTGAAAAAGAGCTTCATAGCTCATTGGATTTTCTCCATGATAAATAAAGATTCTGATTCTAGATATTGTCGTTTGCAGCATTTGAGCTCTCACTGGCAGAAGGAAACCGTCTTGAGAAGAGATTCTTCCATGCCACCTTTGCAACCGTAAGTTTTGCACGATTAAATACCGTGCTTAATTTTTAGTACGGAAATTTCCGTTCCAAAATAGGATTTGGCAAATAGATCATTGAAGTGTAATGTACCCAGGAATCCCTCACCGAGTTTAAAGGCCCATCTTCTGGTGTCTTGTAAATAGGACGGTGAGCCAATTCCATAAAGGGTGTTCAGTGTGAGAAGAAAGTGGGGCACCTGGTAGATTGGAATCTCTGCACAAATCGATTAAAGCATCGACTTGCAATCCTGCCATCTCACAGTCACCTTGCAGCAGCACCAGTGGGTTTGGGAGTTTTATAGTTTTAAATAATACACCAACATTTGTCACCAGAGTGGTGGATCACACGCATGTCGCATATTTCTGAATACTGAGGGAACTTTTTAGGCATAATGCATCAACTGTTTCGACAGTCATTCTTTCCACATTTTTATACTGTCGTGCGAGCACGGTGGCACCAGACTCATGTGATGACCAGAACATGGTATAGACCTCGGAAAGCACTTGACGCAACATGCCCTTTATATTAGCATTGGCGGGGGGGGGGGGGGAAAGAACATGGCTCTGCAAATTATAACCATCCAAGGAATGTTCAAAACAAGAGTAATTGTTTAATGAACACAGTTTGGGAATGTGCACTTCTTTGTCAAATTGGTTTGATTGCTTCTTCTGCTGTGAACGTTTCCGAACAGGATGACCGCAAAGAAGGAATGAGTGCATTCGTGGAGAAGAGAAAAGCTACCTTCACTGACCAATGATCTCAATTGCCAATATTGTGTTTTCAAAAGCACTCGGTCATAATGTGGCATTTATTTTTCATCACATGCCAATCGAATTGTATTTATCGTTTGGATATACGTAAACAAAATATCAATGTGCACGTACAATTTTTAAGCACTTTGTCCATTGTAAAACTACAGTAAGAGTTTAAAAAGTCTTTGACGTCTAAACACAAACTGTGTGCTGTTCCGACATTCACATTTATACAAGTATGATTGTACATGTACAGCCCTTTCTCAATCTATTGCTGGATGAGAACACCACTATGCTATGTGAGTCGTAGGGGATATTTCACCATACAGTACTTCAGCGTGCTTAATAGTGAGGGTTGTTGAAGGGGGCAGCATAGATGGATCATAAAGAATAGTCCAAAAATGTATTTTGCTGGACTCCCCTCTGCTGCCTACCATGTAGCCCCATACCTTATAACACTAATTTGCATGGTGGTCACCCACCCATGTATTATCGAGGCTCAACTCTGCTTATAGCTTCCGAGATGAGATCAGGAGCATTGTGGATGATTTGGTCATAGGCCATGTCATGATTACAAGAACAAATATCAGGAATTAAATGTAAATCTGTGCCTATATTTTGTTGTTCATCATTATAATAAAGGTAAGATGAATACTGGTATGTCTCCTTGCATTTAAGCTCATTCTGTTCATATTTCAAGAGTGTTTTAATATAATTTAATGGGCCCATGCTGTTGGGCATTAAGTTCACATTACTCAAATTTGTATAAAATGCTGGAAAACTTCTAAACAACCACCCTACTTGAAAATGTGTTAACTACCCAAATTGACTTAACATTGACAAGTTTACAGTAACACAAAATTGGCACAGCTATAATGCCACAAGTAGTTTTAATATTACCCTGCATGGTTATGCCTAGGATATCTGTTTAAAAAAAAATACTGCACCTCACCACTGAGCTGTCACTTCATTTAGAGTCAAGAAATCCAATTGACTGGGCAGGCGTTCATCTGGGCCAGCAATTGAGCCGTTATGGATATTTCCATAGAAAACCGAATTGCCCAGAGCAATGCCAACATTGCCATCGGCTGACCTTGAGTGACTGGCGACATTACGCATTAGTGACAGCTGGCTAGACACCGACCAATACAGAAGTAAAAAAAAATCCCCATCTGCAGCTTGTCGTGAACACATTAATCAACGGTCACACAATGCTGCATTCATCACGGGTCAGTGTTCAATTTTAACTCGACACCTTGGAACAATGGAGCTTGGGTTTCTGAGCACACATGCCGGTTTTGTCCTTGAAATATACTTCGTCACTGATAATTTACATTCATTTTCAGCCACTTGTTATTATGCCTGTTGAGCATTGGAACACACCATACTGAATTGTTACCGCAGCACACTTGCAGTGGAGGCTGTGAGTGGTAGCAGAGGGCAGTTAAGTCAAATCTATGGTTGTACTGTACTTTTATGTTGATGCTCCCTCTCTTCAACCTGTACTAACCAGTGTGAAGCATGGTCAAGTATAACACATAGGCTTTTGTGACCAATATAGATCACAAATATATGTCTGGCTGTTGCTTGATGATGCTAGTTGTAATTACTGGCGAAACGTACTCGAATTGTAAATATTGTGGGTTTACTTTACAACACACTGGTGTGCTGTACTAGTAACGGATTGGCATGTTTTGTTTAAGTGACAAACCTTACTAATGGGCTGTGCCGGGTGGTGGCGGGTTTAACGACACATTTATAATTAGGCGATCTAACCCAAAAAAAAACCTCTTATGCATGGTCAAGTAATCCACATGACTTGCACCAGCGTGGGGGAGGTGTTCATACAGCAGTGGTTGACAAAGGGCTGTCCAAGTCCACTGTGAGCAGGAATGGCGTTGAAATCCTTCCGGATGTTTACCTGTGCGTCGTCAGCCCAGCAGCGAGATCACCATGATGACGCCCATAAATTGAGTGAAGAGGAGGAAGGGTGTGAAGAAAGACCATACGGACCACAGTGCCATGTTCAAGCTGCACAAAAAGGATTGATAAATTTGAGTTAGAGGCAGATGTGGCGTGTCACCTGCCATGCCGAGAGCCACACGGACTGAGATTTACGCGCATGATTTGACGACGTATAACGTGCTCTGTATTTTTGACTTCATACGGTCTTGTCTTCTCCAAATGTACTGTATTCCAATTGTGCTATCGGCATCATGCCATTGGACGAAGAATATATGATCCATTTGGAATTCTCATAGTACTTCCCATGTGTTGTTTAACAGCCGACAGAAGCAAATTTTCACAGGATTTTAACACAATAGAGGGTATACTTTTTCACGTTACCGCATGACAATAACGTCTGTATATTCAAAAATGTAAATTCTCAAGAGCTGCAAATTGTGGGGTTTCCAATCTTCATGCTTCATTCACCTCTAGAGTCCAGTTTTCTATTGTTTGTCATCAACGTAAATGTGCATTGCAAACTCCTGATGAGCAGGGTTGGCTACGTACGGTGCGAAAGGAGTTCAACATACATACGTGTGGTGGCATTCAGATGCTATATAAAGCCAACTTGTATTCTTGAATTAGCCATGCAGTGATTCACCTCCCACCACCTCGACGACAAATACAAGAGCCAATGTAACCCCCTCCCCCCCTTTACAGACAAGATGGACAGGTGGAAGGTGATCATGTTATGTAATGTCAAGTTCATTCTAATTAGCGTAAAGATAATGGAATATAATTTACATAAATCACCAAATTTGCCCTGCGGCAAAATTATTTGCATCTGTCGTGCGCTTTAGAATTGATTTTAAACAGGTGAATCATTAACACAACTGTGATGGAAGTGACTGAAGTAAAAAAAAACCCTTGGGCATTGCGTACACAAGGACGTGGCGAGCGAGGCGTGTTCATTTCAGCAAACGTCTCCTGGAGCACACTCGATCGCACTCACCACAACGCGGCCAGGATGAAGGTGGCCGTGGCAGTGGGGACGAGGACGGGGTTGTGGGTCTCATAGTCGGGCACGTGGCAGTACCATTCCAAGTAGAACATGCAGTAGGCGGCGATCGCCAGGCTCACACACAGCAGCGCAACTGCAGTGACGAACCACCAGCTGCACCGATAAAGCAGACCACAGCGACCACAGCGACGTAAATACAAGTGCATTGCAGATCCATGGTGAATGTTGACAGCTTGGGGAGGCCTTCATCCAGCAGTGTATTAATCTTGGCTGATGATTTTGCTCAACAATATGGCAAATAAGAGACATTTTGGAATTTCGCTATTACAAAATGCCATAAACAACTCCATTATTCTTGGGTTCTCAATCTATTAACTTCATTTGTATACGGGAAACCCCACCCCTCAAACCCTGATTGCTGTTCCATCAGCGAGTGTGTGATCCATTCGAACTAAAGGTAATTAGGAATGAGCTGAATTATATCTTCTCACAGCAAATGGATTAGTATTATCCTATTTTCACCAAAGAAGCTGCCAAAAAGTTACTGATACAAATCTGCAGTTGTCCGCCAACATTTGGTAAAAAAAAAAAATCGAGGCTAACACCTGATGCCTGGAAATCCGGTGAGTGCTGAATGGCCCAATACCCACTAAACCATTTACATTTCCCAGCTTACTAATTAATGCACATAAAATCACTTTCTATACCGAGAAAACTATTTAGTCAGAAAAAAAGCATGCAGGGTGAAAACTAAATGCTAAATACACACGAAAAAAATGTGTCAGATGGCAAAAGCACAACAACCACCAGCACACTATGTACAAAAATATGTCATCACCATTCTTGTATATAAAACAGGCTTTGTTTAGAAAACATTCAAGAAGGGCTATGTCATCTTGACATGCAAAACCAAACTGGGAATTCTCATCGTGCCTTTTTTATTCTGAAACACCTCTTGTGTAGATTCACTCTTCAACTATTTTATTTATTTTATCAGGTAAGGCCCACTGAGCTATATAGATCTTTGCCAGAAGCGACCTGGCCACAAATGATAGCCCAACGAAGTGGCTTATCATGTGGAAAGGTATATCAGCCAAATACTCTAAAGGAATGTTTCTAAATGTGGAGGGGAAAACTGGGAGGACCCGGAGAAAAATCCAGGTGACCGCAGAGAGAACATGCATTAGAATGATCATAACCGTACACTCCTCTACTTTTAACTTGAAGCATAGAGACAGCGTTTGCACCCCCACCTCTGGATGGTACTGTCTCTGAGCAGCACCGTCGGGAAGTCAGTGTAGTAGGTTATTCCAGCCGAGGCGCACACCCAGAAGACGGAGTGTGCATTGATGCGGGGCAGTGGCTTCTCCTGCTCCTCTGCTGCTGGTCTTACATCTGCAGTCCCGTGCACACGTCATTGCAAGAGTACCAATGTATATTTGTTTACCCAGGAATGCCTCACTGAATCTCAAAATGACTCATCTTCAACAGCGCCCGCATTGAGATGCTTGGTTAACTCCATGAATGAGCGGCATGTGGGAGGAAGCTAGTGTCATCATGATCATTCCACTGCTGGGTGAAGTCTTCCCCGAGCCATTCTGAATGAGACAATTCACCTAGCACCAGTACGAGACCTGATATTGCTGCTTCATCTCCGTGGTTGACTTTCTCTCTAGAATATCCGGGGAAATCCATGCATATAAAGAGATAGCTCCACACATTTAGATTTTTTCATCGAAACGTCGTGAGAATTTTATTGTTTGATTTTTATTATTTTCCTTCTACGTGACTTTACCGAAAGAACCAAGAAGAAGCTCCACACAGATTTACAGAGACCAAATGAATTACATCTGAAAGTGGATGGAGCACATTGTTGTAGTGCCATCTCCTGGCAATACGCAGCCTAACAAGAGATGGCATGCACTTGTGGTCATACATCCAAGCACGATATATAGCTGTAACTAGGCATACAATGATGCACTCCCACTGTTTCAGTAATGGCATGCATTGTCATGATTTGAAGTACGGATTTTATCCAAAAATCTATTATTTCTTTAACCTAATTAGCATCTCCATCATATTGTTTACGTTTTGTTGCAACTCATCTGCACATTTTTGTTTATTTAATAATTAATTTTGCTAAAGTTGCTGAGCATGGGCCCAAAGCCCCAAAAAAACGCCAAGCGACCAACAAAAAGCACCGTAAAAAAGTTGCAATGAGAGTGAAGAGTTCTCCTGGATTGAGCAAGTTAAGAGACTGACAAAATAAACGATGGGAGGGTATTCCAAAGTCGAGCAGTGTGAGTGAACAAGCAGAAAGAGACGCATTGTAACATGCAGTGTAGGCGGGTTGAACAGCATGGGAGAGGTTTAACCGTCGGTCTTGTGAGACCTGGTCCCCCCCAAGGTGGTAAGATGGCAGAATCAATGGGTGAAATTCACAGTAACTATGGTAGTGGCAATATAAGAATGGTAAGGACTAAGGAGGCGACTGACGGTCGGAGAGCGAGTTACTTGAGCGAGAGTGCTGTATCATCACTAACCCAAACTGCTTTACGCTGAATTATATAAAGTTCATTTATTTGGTATAGCCCTGTGAGCCATTCGGCTCCTGAATCGGGTGCAACCGCAACAATCAAAAAACAAAACCATGAACAAGAAAACAAGCACAGTGAATAGGAACTGGGTCTCCAGTGTGTATAAGTTGTATTATTGAAAAGGTATGTCAATATTACCAATATTATTCACAGTCCTATAGTTCCAATATTCACATCGTTTGAAAGTTCCAAAATGTCCACACTGGAATATATTGAAATTCCAGAATCCTCAACAATCGCTGTATGTATCGATCCATCGCTAATCGATTATTTTTTATTTTATTATTTTTCGGTAAAGTCACGTAAGAAATTTTTATTTTATTATTTTTAAAATAAAATATATTGAAATATTTTGCAATTAAAATGTATCGTTGAAGCCGCCACCACCCGACACAGCCAATTAGTAAGATAAATCTTGACTTAAAGCTTTCGTGACTGCAGGAATTCACATTCTAATTGTGTCTTTCGGTAAAGTCACGTAGACAGGTTCAAAGAAAAGAACCCAAAAAATAAGCATAAACCAAAATATAATAAAATATTTATTTTAAATATTTATTAAAATATATTTTATTAAAAATATATTTTATTTTAAATATTTTATTTCATAATTTTTTACCTACGTGACTTTACACAAAAAAACCAAAGAGTATAAATCCCTGCAGTCACGAAAGCTTCAATCCTAGAACAAAGTTTGGTTGACAACATCGGCGCGAAAAACGACGAAGACGACGAACAAGCCAAAGTCCACCGCCCGCGGCTTTCTCCACCGAGGCGCGTCTCGAGAGATGAGAGAGGGCGAAGGTGCTCATGTTGTTGTTGATATTGTTGTTGTTGTTGCTAACCTTCGCGGTAGTCGGAGCCTGCGCTCAGCGGCGACTCCCGCGGGCTCGAGGCGGCCGAGGGGACGCGGAGTCGCCGGTAGACAACGCCGCCCGACGCCATGTTTACTTCCGGGTGGCTGACGTCACCGCGTGCGCGTCACGTGACCCGGCGGGCTGGACACGTGGGCGTTCCAGTAGAGCCAATTTTTAAATCCTTTATTAAATCCTTTATATTAAGTTCACTTGCTTGCTTGCGCGCTTACGACCGTGCAAATCTTTCGGTCGTTTTTTAACCCACTTCCCGTGATCCAATCGAGCTGACATTTTGCACTCGTTGTGCGTGACAATTTATTTTCGTGAAATTTTTTCCCCAAAATTGTACACTTTTTAGGAAAAAATAAATTATATTTAATTACCAATTGCTTAATGGTGACAGGCAATCATCTGACCCATAGGTGGCAGCCATCTCAAGCCAGAGGACGAGAGGACTCTAGCCGCCACGCATATAAAGGATTTATAGTGAAAAACTTTGTTTTTACGGGTTATACTTGTTATGGTTAAAACACGTGGTAGTCGTCGTCGTTGGCAGTAGGCTTAACGCGACCAATATTATTCTTGGTTCTTTCGGTAAAGTCACGTAGAAGGGAAATAATAATATAAATATAAAACAATAAAAATTCTCACTCCGTTTCGACTGCAACACAAGCAATCATCACCTGAGGACGGCTGTTTGCGTTGTGGCCGAAACGTCGTGATAATTTTTATTTTTTATATTTATATTATTTTATTATTTCCCTTCTACGTGACTTTACCGAAAGAAGCAAGAATATGAATCCCTGCAGTCACGAAATCAAAATTTGCGAGCAATGTTATTAATAATAAAGTTTTTTTTTGTTGCGGTGGTGGTTAGATCGCGAAAAAGTTAAAATGTATCGTTGAAGCCTCTAACCACCCGACACAGCTAATTAGTAAGATAAATCTTGACTTAAAGCTTTCGTCACTGCAGGAATTCATATTCTAATTGTGTCTTTCGGTAAAGTCACGTAGATAGGTTCAAAGAAAATAAAAAAAACTACGACGTTTCGATCGCAACACAAGCGTTCGTCATCAGGAAGAACGCTTGTGTTGCGATCGAAACGTCGTAGTGTGTTATTTTCTTTAAACCTATCTGTGACTTTACCGAAAGACCCCAAAAATTTGTAAGATGCCACGTAAACAAAACGTGCCAATTCGTTACTATTTCAGCACACGGGTGTGTTGGAGAGTAAACCCACTACAACATTCAAAATTTGACTACGGCGTTTATTGTGTTCAGTATGGTTCTTCACTTATTTTCAGGGGATGTGCCACTCTCGTCGATAAGACATCAGTGTGAGGTCCGCCACACATTTGAAACCATTGGGGTTTCACAGCAGCACGATGATGATGGTGATGTGGGGGTGTTTTCACATGTGTAGAGCAATGCGGCCACTAGGGGCCGCCAGTGGCCCGTGAGCAGAGGTCGCAACCGGGTACCCGATACCCGTACCCTACCCGATACCCTGGTGCGGCCGGGTACGGGTAGACCGTCAGTCACTGATGAATAACTTTGTCACTCATTTCCCAACGTCTTGTCTCTTCTCACAATTCAAGTTCCTAGAATCAACCCACCCGCGCCTGCAACATGGCTTCATCCCAGAGGTCGCAATCGGGTACCCGATACCCGTACCCTACCCGTACCCGGTCGGGTACCCGTTTGCGACCCTGGTGCGGCCGGGTACGGGTAAGGAATCAAAACCCGTTTGCGACCTCTGCCCGTGAGCTTTGCGCTGAAGGGCACTGCTCCAAAAAAAAAAAAGTTTATTTAATCCCAAAAACGTTTAAGTCAGGGCACCAAATTGAGATTCTACCAGTGATGTTTTTTTGTGTGGGTGTCAGTTTTGTTGTATGGTGTGGAGGCCTGATTTTAATTGGCTGCAGACCTTCCACACGTGATGCTCAAGACGCATGTTTGGCATCCGATGGGTCGACTTCGTCAGAAGTGTCACCGTTGCTCCTACGACCAGACTCTGAGCGATCGAGAGGTTCGAGGGGAGGCGAGGCTGCGTTTGCTGGGTCATGTCACTCACATGCCCAGCCACCTCATGGGTACGACACGGGCTAGAGAACATAAGGGCTGTGGAATAAAAGGGTTTGGAACTGCACCATTGGAACCTTATTTGCCAGTAACAAAATATGATAATTGGTTTTTTACCCTTTCATCTGGCAACAAAACTGACACTTTTTGAAAAAATAAAAAAGGTGTCAGTTTTGTTGCCAGATGGTTTGGAACTGATTTGACTTGCTGATGAGTATGAATCCTTGCAGTCACGAAAGCTTCAAATCTAGAATTGCTGATGACTCTACCAGCGAGGCTCATTAATCAATTACTTTTCATTTTAAGGGCCGCCCATAAATGACGTCACGCGATATTGGACGATTTTTAACCCCCCCCCCCTTCGTCACACGGCGTCACAAAAAGTCAGACCTCCCCTCAAATATGACGTCACAAAACTCTGCCCCCCCCCCCCAAATAAAACATGCTTTAAACCAGCGGTCGGGAACCTATGGCTCGCGAGCCATATATGGCTCTTCCGGTGACGGCATATGGCTCCCAGACAATTTTGAGTTGAAAAAAATAATAAATAAAAAATCAGTTTGGAACTGATTTTAAAATACTTGTGATATTGCTTAATAATACTGTGTCATTTTAAAGTAAACAGAAATTAGTTTTGAAGATAAAATTTCTCGGGTCACGGATCCCGTGACCAGAAGTCGCATTAAAAGTAAGACATATTTAATTTATTATACGTTAAAATACTAGATGGCTCTCAAAGAAATATATTTAGAAATATTTGGCTTTTATGGCTCTCCCAGTCAAAAAGGTTCCCGACCCCTGCTTTAAACTATTGTCATTGTAGTGCGTATTTAATGTGGCGCTGCACTCTGATGTTGTAGAAAACATTTATTAAAAAGTCTATTTAATTAAGTCGAACGTGTTGTCTATATTTACTTAAAGTTGCGCATTTTGATGTGACGTCACATTTCTCAACCCCCTCGTCAAACATCGTCACAAATGTCTGACCCCCCCCCCCCCAGGTGCGTGAACGTCATTTATGGACGGCCCCTTATGTGCCAATATCGCCCACAATAAAGTAGGGATCAGTGCATGTTCAACCGCTATAAGATACGCGTCATATGGAACGCTCTTCCTATGTTAGAAATCCACTGGAGCTCTGCGCTTTTAAATCATCTAGATTGCAAACGAATTTATTTTTTAATGATTTTTGTTTTTAGTTTGTCGTCATTCCCCCGCACCTCCGATTAGCACTGTTGGCTACGTACGGTGCGAAAAAAGTTCAACATAAACTCATGTAGGATGTCAGCGGGCAGGTGTGTAAGCGTGTGGAATGAGATTATAGCTTTCAGGAATTGAGCACGAAGACTAAAAGCAGTACATTTATTATGTTTATTTTTTATATTTGCTGTTTTAAACTAATGTCACTGCATGCACAAAAGATACACATTAACCACAGACATTACTGTACTGCACATAGCTTGAGGCTTCAGTATTGAGCCACAGAGAAAATAAACCCAACAATTTCACTATAAAACGATAATTTACATCAATCACAACCTACCTATTACAGTTTAAAAGGCCAGCGTCAAAATCGAAGGCAAAATATCCAACTGTCTCACAGTTATTAGTTGTTTTATGTAGAAAAGAAACTAATTTTATTTTACACATATCAGTGCTAGTTTTATGCAACACCTATGTTTAAAAAAAAAGACCTACTGATGTTAACGTTTTAAATTGCCATTTCTCAACTTGAAAAAAAATGTGTGCTGTATAAAAATACAGTACTAATTTAAAAAAAAAAGTGTAAAATATCTACGTATAAAGATGGCATTGCTTTAATATAAACACATCCAAACAGCTCGTTTAATTTTTTTTAATCGTTAATAAAAAAAAATACAAAAGGAAACAACGGACGCGTGAAAAATATAACATTAAAAAACAGTTAATTCAGTAGTAACGGTTTGCATTTACAAAACAAAAAATATAACACTGATTCACTCGTTTCCACACGAAGCCAGGTTGCAGCAGGACATCATCGACTTGTGCCAGGGATGTTGTTATTAAAAAATGTTGCCACCTCGGCGGCCAGCGCCATGTGTTTCATATGTAACTTGGCAAGAAAAATATATTGCAATTGATCGAGTTATTTAATGCGTGTACATTTTTTTAATTTCAACCCAGGTTGTGCTTCAATTGTAAATGTCTGTCCCCCTCCCTTTAAATAGGCCGCAGAAAAGTAAATTGTGACATTAATCCATCTGATTAAACCAGATACTTTTGTTGATACATTTGGCGAGCTGCATTTTGTTAAGTGTCGGACCTAAAACGTGGAAGTAAATTATTGATTGCTGCCAATCGATGCACTTTACAGATGGCAGTTTTTTCGCAACTGATGAAACTGGGTTAATATATTGAATATTATTTGAGTTGTGATGCTAACGCTGATGGAGCTTGGTACAAATTACATTTGCCCACTGAATGACAATATTAATGTATAAACTCAAACATCTTTTCTAATTGCGTACAGCATGTCGTTTGGCAATGACGTGGAGCAAAGTTTTGCTCCACATACTGGAAGTTTCAGTTCCTGCATAAGCCTCCAGCACGTGCAGCGAAACGTCGGGCACCATGCCGAACATGGTACAAGCCAAAAAACACATCGGTGACCTATACAGCACCACTGTGAAGACCTAGTGTGACCTTGTAAACTGTAAAGTTTAATGTTGATGCCTTTTTTTATTCTTTATTTCATTTTGGCTTACAACAAATAAAGTCAGCATTGTATTTGTATTTTGTCTGAGAATAAATGGTCATCGTGCAGTAAATTTTGAAAGGTTATTCAGGGTCTCAAATGGCATTGACAATGTCACCGAAAGTGTCTCCTTAATGTCATAACTAATAAACAAGATGTGCAGCTGCCTTCAGTGTTAAGCTAAATTAAAATCCATTTGCAAATCAGCTATCAAACAGCTCCGAGTCCGGCATACAAGGCGGAGAAATTGTGTACAATTAGTTCTGGGTGATGATAAAAGATTATAATTGTTTTCACTCTCCATATGAAATGTTCTTTGTATTGTCTCCAGTAATCAACCCCTCATCAGACACGTTTACGCACGTGCAATTGGCAGCATATATCTCATTGACATTGAATTTAACTGAGATATTTTTAGAACAGAAAAAAACAGGAAATGACAAAAATCACACCACACAACGGCAGTGGTAGCTGTTAAACAGCAACAAGTATTAATTAGAAAAAGGGCAACTCAACTTAATTTATATGAATACGCTTATTAAAATTAGATTAGTTGTTTTGCCCACCTCTTATTGGAAACCCAGTGGATAGGACAGCTTTTCAAATATGGATTTTCAAACTGAAAAACCACAGCGAATGACAAAATCCACAGCGCATTGGTGTGTTTGCACAAGTGTATCAGCAAGGAAAATAAATTTCTTAAACATCCTAACAATTATGTCTTTCTTGAATGATTTCTACTGCAGGATTAAACAAAAAATGAACAACCAAGAAAACCCTTCATCGGTACGAGTCCCACATGTATTGATAATTATGAATCTGCTCACATCTCATTCGATCTTCCAGTCTCTTGTGGAGGTCTAGGCTCCACGGCTGCAGTTGTCGAGATGGGAGTGTGTTGATGTGAAAGTTTGTGGCTGACAACAATTTAAGCTGCAGGATGGCGGGGGGATGGCGGTGGGGAGGGGTTAATTCCCTCATCCAAAATTTCGAAGCCAATGTATTCTCTTGGCAAATGTCAATGTTCACTCGTTGGGGTAGCACCGTTATTTGGACAAGGAATGTGAAAGTGGTCATATCAGGTGCAGTCCTAGCAATCTGTTTGCCCCGGTACTGTGTTGTATATATTTATTTGGTGATCTTTGTGTGACAGTTGCTGAGCACACTTGAGAAGAGCAAGGCATTGGTGGAGATGGTTGGTCACACTTTCAATTTTAACATAATCACCTGAGTTTATAATTTAAGTTAACAAAATAAGTATGCCCCTTTCAGAAGCATTGTGGTGGGTTTGTTTTACCATACGGCACGGCAGTACACATGCTTTTTCAGGCGCATTCAAGCTTTTATTACTCAAAATGCTTCAGTGAAGAAAGGAAAAACGCGGTTCAACTTTGCAATGCACATCTTCACCCAACCTTCAGTGTTAACAGAAAACAATAGTTACTAGGACCTGTTAATGCAATGTTGACAATAGGCAAGCTAACATTACAATACAGCACTATCAATACCCCTCAGTAAAAGGGAATCCCTATATATTGTCACAAGAACCACTACACTTAGGGCAGACTTTTACAATTTACGCTTAATCTCAGCCACGTCTGTCCCGGCCAATGATCCATAGAATATGTCCGCGCCTGGCACAACACCACATCCAGTATACACCTTGCTTTAACTGTGGCAAGTGCCTACACCAAATATATCAGTGACCCGGCACGCATTCAGCGAGAGATGAAGCCCTGAATTTAACAACCATCTTCAAGGATTTCGGAGGCATGTGCCACTTGTCAGCACTCGTTTCATTGCTCGATATATCAAGGGGTACGCGACCAGCGTCACGACGGGCCACCTCTTGGTCTTCGGCAGGACTGTTGGTGCAGCGCCGGGTGCTGTCTTGTTGAAGTCAAGGCTGGAAAAGAGGCCCCTCAAGTCACATAGAAGCCACTGAAATGGTTGAACACGTTTGTCCACGTCTGCTCGTGACCGCTAGCCATGGGCGGTGCTGGGGGGAGGGGGGGGGTCGCAGTCACAGCTTTGGTCCGTAGTGGAATGCTTTTTTGCAAAATTGAGAAAACGCAGAATTTGTTCGCGAGCGTTTGCTTCGAAGCAGCCTTCAAGTTTAATGGGAGGCTTTTTCTGGGGGGAGGGGGGGGGGGTGCAGGCTGGAAATGTTCACACCCTCCCAAGTGGTTACACCACAAAGCACGATTCATTTCTTCAGGATGATGATGATATGACAGGCTATATAAAAGGCGTTTACAAAAACACATTTTGTGGTCACCAACAAAAAAAGGATCGTTTTGTAAAAACAACCGCATGTGCTGAACAATATTTTTCATCGATTTTTTTTGTAAATTTTTTTTTTATGTCGGTGTGGAAATGTTGCAAGTTCTCAAGTATTCAACAATATTAACAAATGGGTTAGTGACAATTAAATTATCTAACCCTTAGAGACATTACACTATTGTAGTCACGTGTATTGCCAAGATACGGAAGCTAAATAAATCACGATGTGTTCGTTTCATGTGTCTAATAAAAGAAAACCCAACACAAAACAAAGACACCAATTTAAAAAGTGCCAATCAATTATAATCTGGAGACCCCCCCCCCCTGCATCTTGTCGTACAAATACCACAGCCCTTCAAGATGTTCCCCGTGACGTAGGTCAAAGGTCACTTTCTGTCAGTGAAAATGGATGTACGGGGGGGGGGGTCGCATCATTTAAAGTGATTATTCTTCCCCCGCGTCTCCCCCGAGTCTCCCCCGCACCCCCCACCCCCTTCTTGTTGAGTTTGTCGGAGGAAACAAGCTCGGTTTTCACGCTTGAACGAAAAGGAGACACACAGCCATCGGGAGGACGTAGCAGTTGGTTTCAGACCAGCGTCTCAGTCCTGGTTTCGTCTTCCTTCCTCCACTGCTGGTGACTTTCAGGCTGTGGCAGCAGAGAACTCGGTTGACCGGCTGGACCCGCTTGATAGAAAATGCCCTCTTGGTAGGCCCTGTGGAGCACAGCGTCACGGTGCATTAGGAAGCATTCAACACAAAAGGTTGTGGAACAAAAGGGAAGCGCAAAAAAAAAACAAGCGAAAGCAATTTCGAATTTAGAGAGCTTTGTCAATTCTCTGCTAGGTGAAGGCTTTCCCAGAACACGTGTAGTAGTGTGTATGTTAATTCGGAGTGTTTATACTGTAGTGGTGTGAATCTACCCAATGGACAGTAAATTAGCAACTTCATTCTATAGCTATGCAAATCTATATATAGTCTGTTCTCCTATAATGCGGTGGTTCTATTCCTGAAGAATACCGTGTTATGGAAAAATCGCGTTATTATAAATGATATATAATAGGGTAAAGCACAGTCCGTGATAACACGTGAGATGCGTACGCTGGCTGAACAAAGAGCGCGGCGTGTGGGTAGGATCTAGAAGCATCCAGTAGTATCCCGCCTTGTGCGATGCTCCACCGAGCAGCCGTAACAACCGGTTATTCCTACTCGCGCGACTTAGTTCTTTTCACTCAATCGCGTTACATTTCCAATCCATATCCGCGTTATGAAAAATGCGTTCCCTAAAATATTCGCCGCGTTGTATATCCAATTCGCGTCATGAAAACAGCACACGCTGCTACACGGGAGAACAGACCGTACTCATCTTGAAAAACACCGCGGCCACGCACAACTCGCCTGCTCGTGTGCTGCTGCTGCTGCTGCAGTGGCGGCGGCGGCGTGTGGTAGCGATGCACGTGGGTCGCGTCGCAGTGCAGCAGCTGCTGCTGCTGCTCCCGCTGCCCGCCGCCGTCGCTCGCTGCCGCCGGCCACTGCACCACCGTGTGCTGAGCCACCGGCATCGGGACGCCGTGCGATTGGCCGTACGGCGCCGCTTGGGGCTGCTGCTGCTGCTGTTGCTGCGGCGGCGGCGTCGGGCCGTGCGGCTGGCCCGAGAGAACGGCGTGCGCGATGGGATCGCACGACTGCGGCGTGGGAAGCGCAAAATGCCTTTTGCTGCTCGTGCTGCTCGTGGGGGACACTGCGGTCGAGAAAATAAAAAGAGCAAGGCACCACGTCGCACAGGCATTAGACCCAAAGGCATTCGAAGAAGGGGGCACACGGCGGATAATGCCCACGGTGGCGAGATGTTAACTACCTCGCCGAGTATACAGGAGGTGGTGGGTTCGATCCCAACCCTGACGCCTGTATATTTGGAGTTTGCATGTTCTCCTGATGGTCGCGCGGATTTTTCTCTGAGACCTCCGGTTATTCCCTCCACATTTAGAATCAACCTACGTTTACAGTATTTAGCTGCGATACATTTCCACGTGATAAGCCACTTCGATGAGTTATAATTTGTGGCCAGGTCGCTTCTGAAAAAGAGCTATATAGCTCAAGTGGGCCTTACCTGGTAACAAGTATAACCCATAAAAACAAAGTTTTTCACTATAAATCCTTTATATGCGTGGCGGCTAGAGTCCTCTCCTCCTCTGGCTTGAGATGGCTGCCACCTATGGGTCAGATGATTGTCTGCCAGTATTAAGCAATTGGTAATTAAATATTTAATTTGTTTTCCCTAAACAGTGTAAAATTTTGGAAACATTTTTTCACGAACATTAATTGTCTCGCACAACGAGTCTGTGTGCAAAATGTCAGCTCGATTGGATCACGGGAAGTGGGTTAAAAATGACCGAAAGATTTGCACGGTCGTAAGCAAGCAAGCACGCACGCAAGCACGCAAGCAAGCAAGCAAGCGAACTTAATATAAAGGATTTAAAAAAAGAACAAATGAAAATATTTTATAAGTTTCGTTTAGGTGAGGTGGCTGGATGAGGTAATGATGATGAAAGGTTCGACTCCTAGAGGCAGTGAGCGATAGCAGGTGTAAGGCGCTGGTCATGGATGTCTCCAGAGGTTGTACACGACCTGATTTGTACGACATGATAATCGGAGACTGCCAATTGACCAACCCGTTCAATTGAGTCTTTTCTCCTGATTTAGTTTCAGTTGTGCAGTTTGGTGGTCTGTCACAGGGTGCCGTGCGTGACTCAGTCTAAGAGAGCGGAGACTTGCAGAAGTAATTGCCATAGAAATGCTTTCTCGTGGCCTTCTCTATCCACACACTAGGGGGCACCCTTTCCCACGGTAATGTTCGTCGTATAGCAGTCGATGCAAAATGTACATTTCTCAAGGCGGAAAGCATCTATCCTTATGAATAAAAAAAACACGAACTCAAATTGGTAACTTTTGTTAATGCAGTTGCTGGTGACTGGGATGAGGCCATCAACTCACTACACGTGAGAATCGAGTTTAATCGTGGGAAGCTGCACAGACCTGAATCCAGGATCGCAATTGTGCCAGTTAAATGCTCTGACCCCTGAACCGCTCAGCCACCTCTCGCCAGAGGTCGCAAACGGGTTTTGATTCCTTACCCGTACCCGTACCCGGCCGCACCAGGGTCGCAAATGGGTACCCGTACCCGGCCGGGTACGGGTACCCGTTCCCTACCCGTACCCGTACCCTACCCGAAATGAGTGACAAACGGTTACTCACCAGTGACTCACGGCCTACCCGTACCCGTATCCGGCCGCACCAGGGTCGCAAACGGCTACCCGTACCCGGCCGGGTACGGGTACGGGTAGCCGTTTGCGACCCTAGTCGTGTATCGGGTAGGGTACGGGTATCGGGTACCCGGTTGCGACCTCTGCCTCTCGCTCGTTTAGCTCCTCCTTGGTTGCATGTATTGGACCCGATGTAAATCACATGGTAGTATCTGTCCTCTCTCACTCGTCCTAGAATATTTCTCCAGGTGCATATTTCTCTGGGTTTTATGTGGCACTGTAAATTGACCAGAGGAATAAAATGCTTTCTTTCAAGGCTATTGTGTATCCTCCATCTGCACAGACCTCCCTCCACCACGAACCCAATTTCCCTCCCGATATTAAACAGCATCGTGAAATGGCATTGTATTGAGGCTCTTTATAATGAATCAGAACGGTAATTTCTGGACGAACGACTGATCATCAGCCTGGAGTAGATAACGATAATAAAGATGGCCCTGTTGACAATGTGTGAAATCGAGACAATGGGTACGGTCATGGATGCGTATAACGACATTGATTAATGTCCATTTTGAAGCTTGCGATACTAGCGTCATATCGCGTGTGTGAAACATTTATATAAAATTCAAACATGCAGATGCAATATTGAGTTCACATTACCCCTGAAGACTCTAGAGGCTGCTACATTCATCGCAATGTAAAACAAAATTGGATTCTTGAATCGAATCATTACACCCTTCATAAAGATTTGAAATTAATTCATAATGACAAAAGGAGAACCATAGCATTGGAGATGAAAGCTTTCAGAAGGATTTTAAAGATACGGCACAAACATCGCATTACCAGCGAGAAAGTTCTGGCCAGAATAAATGTGGGCGGTGAAAGCAGACTCTTGGAAACAATCAAGGCACAAGAGCTAGCCCACGTATTATGGACAAGTATATAAAGTATGAGTGGTGCAGGCTACTACTCGTGCACATTGATGCACGAGTAGAAGGTCCAAGAGGATGGGCACCACGCTGGAGAAACGTTAACTACCTCGCCTGGTATGGTGGAGGTCGTGCGTTCGATCCTGACCCTGACGTCTATACATTTGGAGTTTGCATGTCTTTCTCTCCCCGCGGTAGCTTGGATTTTTCTCTGGGTCCTCCAGTTTTTACGTCCACATTTATAACCATGCGTTTCGAGTGTTTGGCTGCGATAAATTTCCACGTGATAAGCCACTTCGTTGAGCCATCATTTGTGGCCAGGTTGCTTCTAAAAAAGAGCTACATAGCTCAGTTGGCCTTAACCTGGTGAAATAAAAATAGATTTAGTTTAGAACTGCATATCAGCTGGGCAAATAACATTAAATCATTGAGTAATCAAGAGCAGAGCAAACATAAGGGAAGAAGCAAATAACAAAACAGAACCTGGAGGCAGCTCCAAAGCAGCGAGGCTGCAGGAGCAAATGTGCCGATGCGATCGCAAAGACCCGCGAGAGACCGAACGACGGGACCACTACGTTACGGACGACTCCTTTCTCAAGCTTCGGCTTACCGGAGGCGTGACACTGTCCCGGCTGGGGCTGCCCCTTCACCAGGCGCACGTTGGCGGGCGACGGTGTGTAGGGCCGCGAGCTGCGGTCCGACTGCGAGCTCCTGTCCGAGCCGGAGCTGGCGTGCGACAGCCTCCGCGGGTCGCGGTGAGCGTTGCGCTCGTACCACGAACGGAGGTGGTCTATCGAATCGGCCGTCTGTGGCTGCTGCTGCTGCTGCTGCGCGTGGTAGTGGTGGTGGAGTGGGGACGATGAAGGAGACGAACCCTGCGCCGGTAACGTCCCGGAACCCCTCGCCGTCGTCGTCTGCTGCTGTAGATTATTTAAATGATGCGGTTCCTCCTCTATCAAGGCCTGAGAGCCCCACTGGCTGTTCGCGTGCTGCCCGGGCGAACTGATGGGCGTCCGCACCAGCTGTGAGCGCGAGTGCGGCACCCCGCCGTGCGTCCCGCCCGCGTCTCTGCCGCCGTAATATCCGGCGCCTTCGCCCACGCCGCCCCCGCCGTTACTGCCGTTGCCGCTGCCGCCGCCGCCACGGTAGTGGGCGCTGTCGCGGTACAGCCCGCCCGCCGTGTACGAGTTGGAGACGCGCAGCTGCGCCTTGACGCTGTAGTGTCCCTCGCGGTCGCTCTCCAAGCTGCGTACCACCGTCGTGGGCCACGCCGCCCCGTCCGTGTACAGCGGGTACTCCTTGATGCGGTACTGCGAGGCCGAGTTCGGAACCGAGCGGTGGTGCTGCTGGTGCTGCTGGTGCTGCTGGTGCTGCTGGTGGTGCTGCTGCTGCGACTGGTGCTGATGCGAGTGGTGGTTGTGGATGTTGTTGTTGTGGTGGTGGTTGTGGTACGACACACCGGACCGGGCGGCGCCCGACGGGCCTGCGTTGGGCGCCAAGTTGGGCAGGCTGCCCGAGCTCGCCGAGCCGAGGCTCCCGGCAGAGCGGTGACGCTGGCGCGCCTGGTGCAGAGACTCCTCGCCCAGCGTGCCGTAGCCGTAGCCGCAACCGCAGCCGCTCCCGCAGCAGGGCTCGCGCTCCGAGCTGCACTGGCTGGCGCACGACAGCCGGTCGTCCGGCACGTCGGAGCTGGCGCTGCTGTGTGACGTGGCGGTGCCGTAGGGGTCATCGGCGGAGGGCGGCAGCGAGGGGCCGCACTCGAGGCTGCCGCTGCGATTGCGGAACGCCTCCGGCGGGGGGCAGCTGTGCGCCGGGCTCACGTCCACCGAGCTGGAGGTTGGAGACATGGAGGCAACGGAGAGAGACGGGGGGGGGGGGTTAGGGGTGCCATGGTGGCGAGATGTTAATGACCTTGCCTGGTATACAGGAGGTCGTGGGTCCGATGCCGACCCTGACGCTTGTTCTTCCCGTGGTCGCGTGGATTTTTCTCCGGGTCCTCCGGTTTTTCCCTCCGCATTTATAAACATGCGTTTAGAGTATTTGGCTGCTATACATGTCCACACTATGATAAGCCACTTCATTGTACTATTCTTTGTGGCCAGGTTGCTTCTGAAAAATAACTATATAGCTCAGTGGGCCTTACCTGGTAAAATAAAAATAGTAAATAGTTAGGAATAAAACAGAAACCGCCTCACAACATATACAAAGACACCTTGTACAGCCTTTAACAAACTGTTAGGGCAAACTCTGTTAGCAGGAACCTATTAAGATCGGCTAGGCACACGAGAGGGGGTGGTGTGGCCAGCAGCACACACAGCCACATTTGTCTCCTCCATGCCGATGTTTACACAACGATGCGGGCCCTCGTCTCAAGCCGAGTTGACATCGGTGAGGCCCGAGACCGTTTGAGACATCCGTCAGCGACAGCTGGCCCCGAGCGGGAACCGAACTCGCGTCGCCGCGCGAACCGCCCGACCGGATAATCAAACGGGTGGCGGGGGAAAAACAAAAACCGCTTCCCCAAAGTAACCTTAACCGCACGCCCGCAAAAAGCGCCGCAGCCATTGCGCGCACCTGGACTGCTGCTGCTGCTTGTGCCGGAGGATTCCGCGGGTGCGCAAGTCGGGCGTGGAGGGGACGCTGCAGAAGTAGGCGGGCGCGTGGACGGGGCTGCCCTGCAGCGAGTCGGGCAGCCCGGCGACGGCGCCGGGGCCGTGCACGGGGCTCGCCTGCAGGGAGCCCGGCGGGGCGCTGCCGCCGCACACCGGCGAGCTGCAGCTGCTGGCCGTGGCGCTGAGGCGAGGGGGCGGGGGGCACAGCGTCAACGGCGCGCCCCCGGAGTCAGCGGGCCGACCACACACCGATTTAAAGCTTTCGTGACTGCAGGGATTCATGTTCTTGGTTCTTTCGGTAAAGTCAAGTGGAAGGGAATTAGTAAAATAATGAAAATAAAACATAATAAAATAATTCTCACGATCATTTCAGACGCTGTCTCCCCGATAGACCTGGTCTTCACCTGAGGACGGCTGCTTGCATTGTGGCCGAAACGTCGTGAGAATTGTTTTATTATGTTTTATTTTGATTATTTTATTACTTCCCTTCTACGTGACTTTACCAAAAGAACCAAGAAGATGACCACACACCGTCGCTGCCGACGCCAACGCGGTCCCCGCTGTCCGAAGGCAAACTGGGCGCGGTGGAAATTTCTCATTCCGATGGCAGGGTCTCTGCAGGGCAACTGCTGTTGATTTTGACGAAGCGGTAGTCCATCCTACAGACCCTGCCGTGATCATTAATAAGCTTATTTTATCGGTAGCCAGGGCCGGCGAAAATATCACTCGCCACTGACGTTAGCCGTGGCTGCGAATCAAACCGAGATTGCTAGGTTCGTAGTGCACTACGCGTGAACCACTCTGCAATGGAAGGCTTGGAGCAGAAAGCCCCAGATTCGTTCACCGTACGTTCCTTTCATTTCCCACGGTACACCCAGAGGAGCGAGCTCTAGCAAGGGGTCTCACAGGAGCGAGCACTACGGAGAGTCTCAGAGGAGCGAGCTCTACCAGGGGTCTCAGCGGCTCGGCGAGTCTCCAGAGCCCAGGCGCTCTCGGTCGTCCCCCCGTCGCCGCGAGCCTCACCTCGTCTGGTTGCCGTCCTTGCTCTGCTTCTTGGTCTTCTGGTAGGGCTCGTCCAGGGACGACTCCTTCCAGGCGCGAGGCTTGATGGGCGACTTGTCATAGTCCGGAGCGTCCGTGCGGAACGACTGGATGCGCCGCAGCGCCAGCCCGTCCAGCGAGTGCGGGGGCGGCGGGCGGGCGTACGCCACGCCGGCGTGAGGGTGCGCGTGCTGGTGAGGGTGCTGGTGCGGGTGAGGGTGCTGGTGAGGAAGAGGGTGAGGGTGCTGGTGAGGGTGAGGGTGGGCGAAGGGCGTCGGGGCCGGAGGTTCGTATGCTTGCGGCGATGGCGGCGGAGAGGGCAAGCTGGTGTCCGGGACACAGTCTGTATAAATTAAATCAACAAACAGGTAGAGATAGATATAATTAGATGGATGAATGTGTCACCGAGTGTGAAACGCCATTCCCTCGTTGGCTGCCATTGCATTGTTGTTCTTGGAATTAAACACGTTCAAGGGGATGCCCACTGAAGAGACGCAGAGATGGTGAAATAATTTGCGTGCAGGTGCTCGGTAAATCACCACAACATAGGATAGGCATGGTTGGCTACGCACCTCCGATTAGCATGGTTGGCTATGTACGCATACCTGTCAACCCATACGGTTTATACCCCGTATTCTTGTACAGGCAAATTACGTTTTCAGGTCCATGCGGCCTACATCCGTTTCAAAAATAAATGTCTATTTGTTTGTGTTTCTCCCTTGTGATGGGACTTTGTAGGATGAACGTTGAGATGTATAAAGGCACGGGGTGACCAATAAGGTCTGAATTGGTCCGTAATACGGTAGGCACTGATAAGGGGTTGACAGGTATGTGTACAGTGCGAAAGAAGTTTAACATACATAGTACAGGATAGTGATAAGTGGAGTGGCTTGGGGAGGCTTATTTATTCTAGTAATACAATTCATGAGGTCACAGTTCAATTCAAGGTTATTTAATTGCTAAGTATTAATATGCAAATAAAGAGTTAAACTCCTCACATCTGCGCTGGTGGATCCTCACGTCTATTTCTGGATCTTACCGTCCATTCTTATCCGTGCATTCTAATTTTCACGCAAGAATATGCATGGAATAGTGGAAATAATACGAAGGATTTCCAATTTAAATTCTAGGTTACTCCTCTTATTCACGGGTTCGTAATGGCAATAGAACGAACCATTTCACGAATAATAATAAAATCCGCAGATTGGTTCGGTGGTGTAGGTAATCCAGTGATGGTCGTTGGGCAGATACGTGGAATGTCACTGGACTGTGTAATACTTATATTCATATATAAAACTATGATATATATGTAAAACTACGGTCATTAGCGACCTGGCGACCAATGATAGCTCAACAAAGTGGCTTATCGCGCGGAAGTTTATAGCAGCTAAAAAATCTGAATGCGTAATTCTAAACGTGGAGGGAAAAACTGGAGGACCCGGAGAAAAATCTACACAACTACAAGGAGAACGTGCAAACTCCAAATATACAGGAGTTAAGGTCGGGATCGAACCCACGACCTCCTGTACACCAGGCGAGATAGTGAACATCTCCCCACCATGGTGGCCATGTAGACAAGACAGGAATTGATTTGAGTGTTGTTGTTCCTAATCTTTAGAGTTGTTTTTTATTTTTTTCCCTTATCGCAATGTGTCAATGTTAATACTGACCGGAATCTTCAAGGATGGCGGCATCGGAAAGCGAGCTGTCTTCGGACTGCTCTTTTCCTTCGGAGAAGAATGATTGATCTTTCTTATCTTCATGCATACGACAATACAAAATAAACAAACAGGTGCGTCAAGTGACTCATCGTATGCAATGTTTCTATAACGTAGATACCATTTTTCCACACGTTCAAGTGAAGATTGTGTTCGGCTCATCCGAACAAGTGGGCTCGTGGTGAAAATGCCACATGCCAATGGAGAGCACACTCTGCGTGGGACAACTTCACCAGACTGAGTGTACGTGGCTCAGCGGTCACGTGAGCGGCTCGCAATCAGAAGGTTGGTAGAGGGGGGGTTCAAATCCTGGTTGAGGATTGACTCATCATCCCGTTGGGCTCTGTAACATTCGTCAGCGCTTTGCGGGGACAGTCAACAGCGGTTGCCCTATGGATAGACTCGGCACCGCCAAAGTCGAGTGGAATTTCCTTGCAATGGCTCACGGCCATCGATGGAAATCACCGACTCTTTTTTTTTTTTACGGAGCGATGCATGGACAGTGACGCGCGCATGCGTGCAGCCCCTTCGCCCCGGCTTCCTCTTCCGCCCAGGCGACCGCTGGGGCCGCACCTTCGATGAAGAGCGACGCGCGTTGCGTGGGCTCCTTGCCCGCGCGCAGCCGGTACTCGTTGATGGCGCCCTCGATCTGCTGCAGCTTGCGCGTGGCGTTCTGCAGCGACGTCTTGCGCTGCCGCCGCATCGTCTTGCCGATGTGGGGGTCCGAAACGAGCTTCTTGGCGGCCTCGGTGATCTGCGTCTGGATGGCGAAGTCCCTCTCCAGGCTGTCCAGCTCCTCCTCCTGGGAGAGCCACGCGTTCCGTGTCACGGGGTTACCCCTTGCAGCTCCCTTCACACTTTGATGTGGGCTAAAAGGTCCCGTAGATATAACCGCTCAACCCCAGCTATACACGTGCTCTGGTACTTGCATTGTAATTGTACTATGTTATTCGTTCTTTCGGTAAAGTCACATAGAAGGGAAATAATAAAATAATATAAAACAATAAAAATGTTCTTGCTGTGGATTTCACACCTGATGATGATTGCTTGTGTTGCAGTCGAAACGTCGTGAGAATTTTTATTGTTTGATATTTATATTATTTTATTATTTCCCTTCTACGTGACTTTACTGAAAGAACCAAGAATATGAATCCCTGCAGTCACGAAAGCTTTAAATCAAAAATGTAATTGTACTGTTCGTATTTCGGTGTTTCTCTGGTCTGACACCGGTGAGACAAGGCCATAAAAAGGCTGTCTCTGGTGTAGGCCAATCAGTGTCAAAGACAATGCATCATACGTGATCAGTGTTTCAATGTTTTGCCACAAGTACGTGTGGTTAATGGTGATTTTATTCCTTGCAAAAGGTGTCTATTTGGTGTTTTAACATCTTAACACCTGTTTTATTGCCAGAAAGGGAAAAAAAACTATTCTTATTTTTCATACTCCCAAGTCCCGCTTCTTCATGAACCCAAAAGTAAACAACCTTGCGTGCACCTTTTATCAAGCCATTGCTTTGTTACTGTTTATTATGATTATTCTCATATTGTTTAGCGAGGAAAAATTTAAGAGTTGTTTTCAGGAGGATATAGCCAAGGTTTCCACGGCAATGGTCGCTATGTACAATCGCAATTTACTAATTTGCGGGTAAGTCATCAAATTTGTCAAAATCCCAGATGAGGGCCTACCCATATTGTTCGAATCGTGGGAGCTCTTTGAACTATAACCACACTAATGTACAACCCAGGTTTGCCTGAATTATTACTATCAATGGGCACGGCTCGATATAAGTGCATACTTTTAAGTTTAATGCGAGCCTCTTTACAGCTGTTTGTTGTTGTTGAGAAACATTACACGCACGGCCCGTACAATTTGCGTGACAGTCTTGCGTGCGAACAAGGGTGCAATTACACTGCTGCGGAATGAATTTTCCATCACATCACATGGCCTTATAAATAAACGCAAAATCATCATACATGCACATGTGCACGTACATCCCTCGGTCGGTCCACTGCTGGATCTGGGCATCCTTAAGCGGTGGGGGGTTATTTGAACCAGACTTCACCACGCTGGTCAGTGCCAGGTTAACACAGGGCAGGGGGAGCATAGACGCACAGTACAACAATGTATTTGCACTGCAATGCTGTTTTTCTGCCCACAACACAGTCCCGAAGCAGCCTATAACAACCCGGCATGCAAGGTGGTTGCCCATCCTGAGCACAATATCAGGCTCAACAATTGCCAAGCTTGGGTGGGAGATTGACTCGCCATAGCAAAGCGCAATTTCCTCGACTGGCTCAGGTGGCGATCAACAACCTCCCCCCTTCACCCCCCACCCCCTCCCCCCCCACCCATCGTCGCGGCGATGATGGCGATGGAAGCGGCAACGCACCTCCCCGCGGGGCACCATCTTCTTCTCGTCGAGCTTGAACGACGTGCCCACCCGGCGGCGAACAGCGGGCGGCTTCTCGCCGGCCGCCAGCGGGAAGTCGCTCGGCAGCCGCCCCGTCAGCTCCTGGGCACAGAGACGACGACACTCGCTCAGCCACCGTGCGGGCAGCCACCGTGCGGGCAACCACCATGCGGGCAGCCACCGTGCGGGCAGCCACCGTGCGGGCAGCGCCGTGCGGGCAGCCACCGTGCGGGCAGCGCCGTGCGGGCAGCGCCGTGCGGGCAGCGCGGGAAAGTCTCCTAAATCCTCCCCACCCTTGTTCTGTTTCCCAGCCCTCACCCCTCTTCATAGCCCAGAACTTGGGTCCCTCCGTCCAGCCTGGTGGCCCTGGTGCAGTTGCACCGCCGCGCGCACTCCCCGATAGCTACGCTATTACGATTGGCACGGTTGGCTACGTACGGTGCGAAAAAAGTTCAACGTGCGTAAGCGACACGTTTATTAACGAGCGGAGAACTTGCCGTGGTTTGATACCGGTGGGGCTGTTTGCTCATTTATCGTGTCCAGAGATGGCAGTGCATTTGGTCATCAAATCCAAATTAGAGACGCAGAATTTACTTCAGAAACGTAACGTGCGCTTGGGCAGGACACAAGTGCTCCACGTAGTGCCCTTACGGATGAGGCTTGCTGATCGATAGAATGGCAGCCAAAGGTGAGAACACGTGCCCACCGTCGAGATGGGTCGTTGAGACTCGTTCATATGCCGAAGCGAGATGGACTGTGGCATCACGCAATCGTGAGGGCTGGTCCCGTCGGGAGGGTGGCATTCATCTTGCACTAGATAGGTGATGTACGCACGTTGAACTTCTTTCGCGCCGTACGTAGCCAACCGTGCTTATCGAAGGCGCGACCGATAATGGCGGTGATGGCGATGGATCCAATTTACATTACATGCGGCAGAGCCCAGCCGAAGGGCTGTATTGGAGGAAGGGGCATGCCAAAGCACGGAGTGTTGTTGAAGAAGGGGGAAGCGTGTCAAAGCAAGAATCATGTAAGAACAGTGAGCATGGCTGCAGGCTGGAGGGAGTGGAATGTGTTTTGATGAGGGTGGTGTGTCAGAGTGGGAAATGTGTCAGAAGGGGCCACGCCTAAGAGTGTGAAGCGTTGCAGAAGGCGGCTGTGGTATCGCACGCCTGAGATCCCGTGGCTCTGGAGAGAGATAGGAGTTGTCGGGTCACAGAGAGATTCGCGAAACCCCCAAAACCTCCTGGGGCTGCGCGGTAGCCAGTAGACAGCAGTTCAGCAAATGTGATTAGGAACCCATGTGCGGGGACGTTTCTGTAAGGCTTTATTATCTTATTCTAGATTTGAAGCTTTCGTGACTGCAAGGATTCATATTCTTAGGTTTTTTTGGTAAAGTCACGTAGGTAAAAAATAAAAATTAATAAAAGTAAAATAAAAATAAAATAAAAAATAAAAATCACGACGTTTCGGAGGCAACACAAGCTTCCGTCTTCAGGTGGAACCGTCACAGCACGATAGCGGTATCAAGCTTTATTATCTCCGTCAACTAAACAGTTTTTCTCTGGGTACTTTATCTTCCTCTCAAACGAAGCTTTAAAAAAAGAAAAAGTCCAAACATTCCATAATGTCACGACTACCGCTGAGAGACATTATCGAGACTCTTTTCGTGGACTCGAGACTCGGGCGGGCGAGGGGCGTGCGGGATTTTGGTGCCGGACGAGAGAACGACGCTTGAGCGCGAACCGCGACGTGGCCGTTGGGGGGGGGGTGCGGTACTCACGGCCTCGCGCAGACACATGGAGCGCAGATCGTCCAGGCGCAGACGCAACGATTCCTCCAGCACCTCCTGCCGGCTCTTGAGCGCCGACATCATCTCCTTCTTGGCCGTCTGGCTCACCTCCGAGTCGACCGAACCTGTGCGGTGGTGGAGCGGGGGGGGGGGGGGAGCAGAGGGGAAGCAATGTTGGTCGAGAGAGTCAGGCGCGGCAGGGGTTGGCCGAGTTGGAAGCTCGGGCATGAGTTTGTTCGTTAGCTGCTAAGATATCCCCACAAGGAATAACGACGATGATGATGATGGTGCTGTAACGTTAACGAGAGTGACATTATCAGTAGCGGCAACGGTAACACTCAAAATCGTGGCTTGATGTTACCTTGAACAATGCGACCATTACCATCACTTAGCATGTGGAATATTAACGGTTGTATGTCTTTACGCCCCCCCCCACTCCGTGAGAATGCCCCAGGACTCATTGGAGCTGCCCTGGGCTACCCCGGCTGTCCCTGAGACTGGTCGTTGGTTGCTTTGTACGCACATAGAACTTCTTTCGCACCGTACGTAGCCAACCGTACTAATCGGAGGTGCGGGAGAAGGACAACAGACTGAGCACAAAAAGCAGTTCTGGTTTGAGCCGCAGTACTGCCCTCTCCTCACACACCCCCAGCGTATATATCCCTGCCCTGACTCCCCCTTGCCCAATCCAACTCCCCTCGGTCTACCCTAATGTAGTTCTCCATTTCTGTAAAGCATCCTGACTTGCAATTGCCTTTAGATGCTCTATAAATTGTTATTCCTTGTGGGAGCACATCCGGCGCTTGGTAAGTGCACACGAAACTTATGGCTGCCTCCGTGCAATCATAATCCCCTCTCAGTAGACGTGCATTGATGCATTTGTTAATTCGTTGCTTGTCCCTCATGCAACGCGTACGCACATCAGATGTGTCACGTTGCACTCGGGAACACGACAAACTGTCCAGTATGAGTCAGAACAAGACGAAAAGCACAGCACAAACAATGTCGTAAAAAAACGAACAATCGCGTAAAAACTAGAGGAAAAAGAATCGTTATTTTTTTCGACCTTCAATGATTACAACACACCGCTTCACTGGGAGAGGGGTGGGGCGAGTCATCACACGCGTACTTATCGGCTCTATCGTCGTAAAAAAATGTACCAAGGAAATGCTTCACACGAGGTTATGGACATATCCCTCAGGCTACGAGCAGCCACCTCGGGGCACCAACATCAGCTGGCAGGTCTCGTGGCGGCTGCGCAGCGTCGTTGCACATCGCACCCCAAGCTCTTCCCAAACCCGGCACAACCGCAGGGCAGGACTGAGTAACCGGCTCCGGAAACCGGAATTCGATTCGAGTCACGGGCATGACCGCCAAGTGTGCACACCGCCCAGTATTGACACGCGTGGGATACTTACCGCGGAATGTGCCATTCGAGTGCAGGGGGTGGTATGAAGTTTAAGGCTCTTGCGTGAACACTGGTCACGTGAAAAGTCCTCTCATTAATATTTGGCTAGCCATCGGTTAGGAATCAAACTCATCCCGCTGTACTGTCGCGAAACATTACATAATATCACTACTGTGTTTAAAGAGTAAAATTACACCAATCGTTCCAATTCGTCAAATCGCTGGCCGAGTGTGAACCGTTCCGTGCCTGCCGTTCACTAAGGGAACTCCCGCAAGGTGGGTCTGCCCGCGGACGGCTTACCAGACGACAGGAGACTGCCCCTGCTGGCACTGATGACCTGCCCCCTGCTGCCCATGCTGTTGAGCTTGCTTCTCTTGAGCGTGCCCGACTCGGAGAGATCCACCGCTATCTCGCTGAGGCTCCGTGCCGCTGGAATCTTTGCCTGGAAAGAGAACGCGCGATCGGCGCGGGAGCCACGTACAACGGACGGATGAATGGACGAACGAATGATCGAAGCCCGAGGGAGTTTTCTGCGTGGCAATCGGTGGGACTTGTGACACCGTCCAGCGGTTAGAGCATTTGCCGCATGTTGCAGAGGGTTTGCGGTTCAAGCCCAGCAACCGCCCCAGTCAATACTGCGGTTGCATTAGTGATAATTGCACGGTCTGCCGCACATTGAATGGTAAAGACGTGATTAAAATAAGGAGCAGACAATGTGTGCCGGGGAGATGGTTTTAATCAAATTTGGCAAGAAAAATTGTATCACTGGACTTAATTGGAAAAGGCCATACAGCAGTATCGCTCATTATTGGCGGATGATACTTGCCTGTGAAGCACACAGCCTTCATGACAACAGCCTTGCAGTGTAAGAATGGCAATATGTACTCGGCTATTATTATAATTATTGACTTAAAGCTCTCGTGACTGCAGGAATTCATATTCTTTGGGTATTTTGGTAAAGTCACATAGATAGAAAACATAATAACAATAAAATAATAAAAAATGAAAATAAAGTGAATACAAAATAATAAAAATATCACGACGTTTCGATCGCAATCGTCCTCAGCATTGCTTGTATTGCGATCTAAACGTCGTTATATTTTTATTATTATTATTTTATCTATCTACATGACTTTACCAAAAGACCCAGAGAATACTATTATAATTATTACGACTGCTCAGGCTATGCGTTTGGATACCGTGGATGCCGTGGACACTGCGAATCACACAGACGAATCACACAGACGAATCACACAGACGAATCACACAGGGGCCCATTGTGAAGTGGGGTGACTCTACCTTGCTCTGCTTCCTGTCCAGGTAGAACTGGTGTTGGCTGATTGCCATCGCCCAGATGGTCTTGATTAGTGCGACGCTGGCATACCACGTGTGGATGGCAATCCCACTGTGTCCGAAGGTGCGACGACTCACCGTCACCCTGAATAAAAAGACAAAGATCCCCCCCCGTATAGCATTAACAGACTGTTGGGGCAAGTGCTGTTAGCAAGAAACGCCAGTGAAGGCTGTCACGACACACGAAGGGGGTGGATGACCAGCTCCACGGCCTTTGTCTCCCCAGTGGCGTTGTTTACACACCCCGCCATGTACTAATTTTAAGGTTAAGTTGACCAGTTCAGAGAATCGTCACTGGTGTTGGCCGTGAGCATGAAATCAAACTCTGGTCACCGGGTTCATAGTGCGGCGCGCTAATCACTGCGCCACCGTTCCCCACAACCCTGAACGCACGCGCGCGCACACGTGGATAAAAATGTCTTTGTTAAACTTGAGCATGCATGATAAACTATTTAAATTACATTTTTTTTTATTTTACTAGGTAAGGCCCACTGAGCTATTTAGCTCTTTTTCAGAAGTGACCTGGCCACAAAGAATAGCTCAACTAAGTGCATTATCATGTGGACATTTATAGCAGCCAAATACTTTAAACGCACGTTGATTCTCAATGTGGAGGGAAAACTGGAGGACCTGGAGAAAAACCCGCGCGACCACAGGGAAAGACACACGTAAACTCCAAATACTCAGCAGTCGTCAGGGTTGGGATCGAACCCACGACCTCACACAAACCTGGCGAGGTAGAGCTCCACATGCTAGGAGTTTCTTCCGGTAAGCACGTGCAACAAAACGTCGGACAATCCCACCAAACAACAATAACAACATGGCGCAACCCGAAAACAAATCCCAGCACCAAGAGGATCGAATGAATGGTTTGAATGCACGCACTGCCCGCGCGCGTAAACGTTCAAGCGCCGCTCGCTGAACTGCGCCACGATCACGTGCCAGACGCAGACGCTCAGAAGAAATTCCGCTCGAGTGTTTTCTGACTATTGCTGCCGTTGGGTTTTCTGCGCCACGGGGGGGGGGGGGGGGCACACGGAGGCAGAGCACTCTTCTCAGATGCGGCTCATTATCAAGCCAATTTTAAATTCCTGCCCTGCTCAGCGGTCTGCCCAGGGCTCTGCTGGACCAGCCAGGGCTCTGCCGTGGCAGTAACTGCGTACGGCATCGGGCTTTAAAATTGATGTGATTTCAGGAAATCAACTTCCACTGCCGGAGTCACGTGGGTAATTTCTTTTGATTAGCTGAACGCCAATTCCAGTAGAAATTGGGCGGGCGGGCGCTTTCTCAGGCCTACTTGGTGCTCAGAACAAACGCGGCCAATGTCGGCGGTGTGGAGCAGGCACACTCAGCAAAAAAAAAGAAACCAATTTTATTTATTTAATCATCATCATCATCATCACCAGGTAAAGGAATGCGCCAATAAACGTGGTCAATGCATTCTCTCACAGCCTGCTCCGATCGCCTATGTGCCATGTTAGGGTTCACATTTTAATCATTATTGGTGCATCGGGTAGGACAGTGGTTAGCAGGCTGTGCTCTCTCTGCACCAGACAAATTGAGGTCCATTCCTTGGCATAGCTAATGTCAGTGGCAAGCAGTATTTGAACTGGTCCAGGGTACCCCTTCACCCCCCCACCCCACCAAGCAGCTTCATGAAATATGGCCTTTGTCCAACAGTGAAATAACAAAAGGCTAAAATATTACTTATAATTTATACCATTAATCAGTAGAACGTACAACTTAAAAAATGTTACCCGCAATTCCATATCCCCAGGACTAACAGTAAAACAAGCGCACACTCCCGGCCTAACAGACCATCGATGCCATTTACTGTAACATGGCGCAGAGCACCAGAAGCCAGCAAGGATCATGAATGCACAGAAGAGATTTAAAACAAAATACATCCTGTGCAGGTAAGTAATTGACCACGTTTCTCTCAAACGGAGTGGGCATTTTTACAACATTCTCGTGGAAACTCGAGTATTTAGGATGGATGCTGTGGCTGTAATAGTAGCAGAAAACTGCTTCTGTAGGAAATGCCGTTTGTATGAACAGGTAACCATTTCGGGCAGGAATTATTAAGCATCATCCCCACCCCCCTATTTAAACTCAACATATATATATTTTTATTTTACCAGGTAAGGCCCACTGAGATATTTAGCTCTTTTTCAGAAGCGACCTGGCCACAAATTGTAGCCCAATGAGGTGGCTTATCACGTGGAAATGTATGGCAGTCAAATACTCTAAACGCACGTTGATTCCAAATGTGGACGGAAAAACAGGAGGACCTGGAGAAAAATCCACGCCAGCACGGGGAAAGAGAACACGCAGACTCCAAATATACAGCAGGCATCAGGGTCGGGATCGAACCCACGACCTCCTGTATACCAGGCGAGGTAATTAACATCTCTCCACCAGGGAACCCTCTTCCTACTCCCCTCTGGCAACCGAGAATATTGAATTGAAACATGGGGGAGAATGGTAGCAACCTCCAAGTGGCTACACAAGGGGTGACGTGAACCCATTCGGTAAAACACCGACAAACATTGATTCATAAGCACGGGATTCGATACTTGTAACTGTAGTGTAAGAATTAAGATTAATTAATGGATGCATCTTTCCAGAATCAGAATATGTATTTATCCTGGAGACATTCTCCAGCAACCAACAACACGGATAATTTATAATCACAAAAGGATGGTGGAATATTATTACAATAACCTACTAAATAACCTAATAAAGGAAACACATTAAAGGATTGATATTTCAACTTAATCAAACTTACATGGTGTGTGTGTGTATATACTGCAATAATTAGTGTACTAAAGATTAAGATTTCTGGAGTCAATGTGAATGCTAAAACTCAACTGATGTCAGTGTCATCATTTCGATTTTTTTTAAGTGCCGTTTTCCCTGATGAGTGCTGTTCAAAAAATATTGTAAGGATTTCCACCGGATGTTGATTGTGACCACACATCGCACACCCCCATCTTGTGGGCTGAATACATGGTAGATAAAACGAAAAAACAAAACATAGCCTTGTGATTCAGATATTTAGAATTCATAAAACCGTGTCGATCCACTGCTGGATACTATGTTGTCAAGGACGTTGTTTTAAAATATGACTGCGACACCAACGGTGTTCAGTGTGGGTTGTTGAAGGATGAGGCCACAGTATTGTTGTTCGCCACTAACTTTGGCATGGCACAGAACTGAACTCTGGTCGCCGGGGTTCATAGTGCATTGAGCTAAACACTGCACTGCTGCGCCATTTAGATAAGTTACATATTAACCACATCTATTTTATCGTCGTAGGTTCTTGCAGAACAACACATTCTGTGAGGTTTTGAAACACGGTATTTCATAAACACATTTGCAGTTGTAAACCAGTCTCTGTTATGGCCCACAAAAAGGGCTTCTTTAATTCAAACCCCGCTGCTATTATTTGAGAAGCCACTATACGCCACTGGACATTTCTTTTGTGGTGTCAGTTTGCAAAAAAAAAATGTTTCAAAGAAAACAAATGTCTTTGGTGATGCTGAATAAAGTAAAAATTATTCGTGCCACGAAGGCACGGTTTCCAGCCAAGACGATCGCCCAAAAAATCGGGGGGTAAAGGGCAGCATCTCGCCTTGCGCCGACCCATGGCTCATAAAAACAACAACGACTTAGGCCTCCATCTGCCCGGGAGTTCCGTTGATGTACCGCGACCGGGAAGTGAGGAAAAAGCATACCCGAAAAAAATAACCAAGGAGCGGTTTATTTTCGAACTCTGCATCTCTCTGCCCATGTGATCTGTTGCATTTTCAATCTATTGCAATCTATTGCAATGCCGCGCCTTGGTTATTGCCCGCGTATTGTAATGTCGCAATGTATAGCCATCTTCATGTGCTGCAATACCGAACCAATATAAACACATCAAAGATTGTTGTGATTTCAATCAGGGTAAACATCAAAGTTTGAATGTATCATCATGAGGCTGCATTCGCCTATGACAAAACAAGCCTGACTGTGCACAGTCTTGTCAAGTTTCAGAAGATAAGCATGTTACAGCCTGGTGGCTATTACTTGGGATGGGAGAATGCCTGGTAATACCAGGTGCTATTGTTTTGGGCTGCAAGGTCGCAAGGTGGTGGCATTACGGAAATGGATTCTTGAAAGTATCTGTGCGATGCTGTGAGTGGTGCTCCGGTTTTATCTTTCTGCAAGCCAAATCCTCAAAACAAAATTGGCCAAATGTCCTTTGCGATGTCCTCTTGATGGAGTGTTGTGACACGGTGAAGCTTTCATGAAGAAAGACATTGCTATTTTTATTATAATCTTTAGGTCATGCTTTTCTATTGTCTGTAATGCTCACTAGAAAAAAAACACATCTTGTATGTGAAAAGGTGAGTGTGAAGTCGTCTATAAGAACTGTTCGTACGTAAGGCAGTATCGGGGGGGTGTGGTAGGGGGGGGTTGACCACACAAATTCTGGAATACTGTTGTCAACTATGCAAAAAAAAACATTATCACCGACAGCCATGTGCACTAATCACTGTTGTCCAGCAAATGAAAGATGACAGCCCTTCCAAGCTTGGCTGCTCGGTTTTTTATACTCACACACACACAGTGTATTCTTTCTCCCTTTGCACGAAAGTCTTTGGCAACGCGTCCTGCGGAGGTCGTTCATGAAAACGCGGCCGACGCGTCGGACTGAAAAGGCAATGTTTCTCGACGCAAAACGGCGACGGTAATTAAGTCGAAAATGTCACAGCCTCTCCGTGCTGCTGGGGAGCACGTGGCCACGCCGCCGGGAAAATGAGGGAAACGCGCAGCTGCCGGCAATGGCTCCGTTCCAGACGAGGAGGTCGTCCAGTTCAGGGTTTCCGACGCGGCTCACCACGTCCCATTGAGTGCCACAGTATTTGTGCTCTAATGTAATGTTTAGCAAGCACTGATTGGTTCTGTTTTGCTTTCTCATTCATCATAATTAAGAGTATTATTAATTCTCTTCCGTCTATGGCTGGCTCCCTGCCCGTGGCCGACCCACACCGGCCAGCATGGTGAAGTATGTTCGAGTAACCGTCATGACCGATAATGCCGCAGGGAGACCCCCTCGTCCAGCAATGAGACTGACAAGAGTGCTGGACATCTATAACGCAGCGAGTACAAATTCACAAATGTGCACTGATCATTACAAGCTCCACTGTATATAATAATAAATTTTGACAACACTTTCCACCAAAAAAACCAACCCATCACACACTACAATGCACCTATTTTTTTTTATGCGCCATCAAATCTCTAAATTTTTCAACCACTAACCGCACATGCTCTTGCCATAACTCTGTGCTCACTTTGAATATTACTTATGAAAGGAGGCAAGCTTTGAGGACCGACCTGAAACAGGGCAAAGAGAGGGGGCATGCCTGAAAGTTGGAAGATGATTTCATGACGTCGGAGCTAATTTGCCAAAAGATTTATCGCAGATGCCAACCAGACGGGCGGGTGGGGCTACCAGGAGGTGGAAGTCACTGCTTGTAGTCCCCGAGGACGGGTTGTATCTGCACTTTGCGGTACCTCCACAATGGAATGAAGCCACCTTCACGGGATTTTGAATGTGACTATAACTGACACCGACACAGGGCCAGATTTTTGGCAGCTGTTGGAGAAACCTCCCCGAATGTGCACAGGGATATGCAAAGACAAAGATCCCTGTATAGCCTTAATAGACTGTTGGGGCAAGTGCTGTTATTAAGCACCTATGAGGGCCGGTACGGTCCACGAGGGGTTGGGTGGCCAGCACCATGCTGGGCCATACCGCACCAGGTACTCATTTGAGGCTGAGTCGACCTACGGGAGGCCCATGACAGGTTCAGATAATCGTCACTGGTGTTGGCCGTGAACGGGAATCGAACTCGGGTCGCCGGGTTCGTAGCGCAGCGCGCTAACCGATATGCCACCGCTCCCCGCAGGGATACACAAAGCCACACAGACACATTCGCAACTGAAATAACTTGACCTTGTCATGCAACGTCAGCTGTTTGAAGGGTCCGGCCACTTGTAAAAACGTGTGCTCGCACAAATCATTGTTGAAAAAAAAAATACCGTGTTGCTGAACTAAAGGGGAGATCCGACAGAGAGTCAAGGCCCTCTATAAAGAATGATTTGCTTTTTTCAGCACGGCAGGGGGCATATCACTCACCCAAATACATTTTTCAAAAACTTAACAAATATTAAGACAGCTGGCCCCTCATTATGTAAAGGGGGCTAAACAGGTGGCTGAAAGCATGTGCTCTCAAACAATAACATGGGCGCGACAAACGTCTAAAAGGTACTGCACATTTCATTTCTGCATGAAAGGAATAAGGGTCTCACTGTGCTTGATATGATCTACTCAATTCCTCTTTGGGTGTATCAATGTCATTTTAAGGGCCCAGTACCACCAACCAAACCGCAGGTATCTGCCAAAGTTTACATTTGCTCCGACGCTTTGGTAGTAGCCACAACAAAAACGTGAGCAAATAGCGATAGGTCACTTTACACAATTTTTCAGCACGGCAGGGGGCATATCATTCAGACGCTGTCGCCTCGACGGACCTGGTTTTCACCTGAGGACGGCTGCTTGCGTTGTGGCCGAAACGTCGTGAGAATTGTTTTATTATGTTTTATTTTTATTATTTTATTACTTCCCTTCTACGTGACTTTACCGAAAGAACCAAGAAGACACTTTACACAAGTCTGTCAAATGTACTCCTTACGAGCGAGCGCACAGACACATCACCTAGGCTCCCACGTCCAGTTTGCTTTACCCAATAGGGTAAAAGGCAAAGATAAAGGTGCAGTCATGCAACTTCTTGTTTACGCCACTGCTGCCAGAAAGGCCTCCACTAATCGAGAGCCCCCCCTCGACAGAGTATTTTTGGCCTACTCTTCCTCGCTGGCCTGACGTCTTAGGAGCGGTGGAGAGTACCCACACTTTACCCCACCCACTTGCTACGTGCCGATCGACAGCACATGGTTGCATAAAATAACCTGCCCCTCAACTAACTTAATTTATCTATTTAACAACCGCCCAAGTGACTGGACAAGCCTTGCTTGAGCAACACTGCTCAGCAGGTTTTATACTTTGCATGTCTGTACAGGAAAATAAACGACTGCTCGTGCTGTACCATTTAGCCACAAGCCGGCAAGCCACAGCAAGGCGTGCCGTGCTCCCATGAGTATGCGTTCACCTTGGGAAGCTCCGCGCTTCTATTTACAAAAGATTAAGTGAAACTTGCGCCCTTAATTCCCTTTTAAAACCATAGCTTACAATAAAATTATTGCGAACAGTTGAACGTTTGCAAATAGTCGATTCAAACTATTTTCATAGGAATGTATTTTTATTTTATTCGGGTGCCACTGTGGCGAGATGTTTGACTACCTTCCCTGGTATTCAGGAGGTTGTGAGTTTTATCCCAACCCTGATGCCTGTATATTTGGAGTTTGGATGTCTCTCTCTCTCCCCACGGTCACGTGGATTTTTCTCCGGGTCCTCCGGTTTTTCCCCTCCACATTCAGAATCAACGTGCGTCTAGAGCAGGGGTCGGGAACCTTTTTTGACTGGGAGAGCCATAAAAGCCAAATACTTCTAAATATATTTCATTGAGAGCCATGTAGTATTTTTAACGTATAATAAATTAAATATGTATTACTTTTAATGCGACTTCTGGTGTTGCATGGTTTTGCTGATGGCCTTGTGTAGTCTGGTTCATACGACGTGCTGAGGTTGAGCTTCGTGCAGGCGTGACCCGTGAAATGTATCTTCAAAACTAATTTATGTTTACTTTAAAATTACACAAATATTATTAAGCAATATCACAAGTATTTTAAAATCAGTTCCAAACTGATTTTTTTTAATTTTTTCAACTCAAAATTGTCTGGGAGCCATATGCCGTCACTGGAAGAGCCATATATGGCTCGCGAGCCATAGGTTCCCGACCGCTGGTTTAGAGTAATTGGCTACTATATTTCTCCACATTATAAGCTACTTTGTTCAGCTATCATGCGTGGCTATGTCATTTCTAAAATATAGCTATACAAGTCAGTGGGCCTTACCTGTTAAACTAGTAAATAATAAATCGTATTCTCTCATTTACTTTCATGTGAATCCACAAATACCAAACGTGTATTATTATTTGAAAGTGCATTTAGACTGCTCGTCATTTCATCAAGTGAGACCTGAACAAATGTTCACGTGTTCAAGTGTCTCAAGCTGACAGTATAGATGCCACTCTGACTTTGAGAGACTCTTACAACCACCTCAACTACGACCAACACTTAAACGTGAAGAACACGTGGGGTGTATTCTTATTTTTCAATGGAGCTCTTTTCTTTACAGTATATTAAGGGGTCTCGGTTGCCTTAATAAAATCAGCGCTGGGCAGACGTTACACTAATAAGGGAATGGGGTTTTGTGGCGTGGTCTTGGGACCAATTTATTTATTGGGACCCAATTCTACTAGACATCTGTGAGAATGAGCTCCATATTTCATCGGATTTCTCCAAGATAAATAAAGATTGTGATTCCAGCAGTTTGTTGGGGGTGGAAATGAGACCAAAGTTTATAAAAGCGATAACACCTGATGGACCCTGTCGTCAATACGCTGTGGAATGACGGTCTTCTTACCTACACACCTCCTGCTACTTTTGAACGATCAATGTGACCCACGTATTTCTAACTCCATCGCCCGCGCTCACCCCCTCCTCCCTGTCTAACACCTGGCGCTTGCTCACCTGTTTGGGTCATGAACCTCCACCGAAAACTTCTTCTCCCGGAAGTACAGGTTCTCAAGTTGTCGCCACTGGAACACCTGCCGGAAAAGAGCACGGAAGGAAAACCACATTCAGGGATTCCGGTCAAAGACTTGGGGAGGGGGGTGGTGTGGAGGAGGAGGGGGGGGGCTGGTCACAGCCAGAGGCTAAACACAACATTACAAAGGGCCTCAAGGAAATTCCGCAAAATCAAAGAGCCACACACCATGGAAACATGAAAAGGTAAGCAATAATGAGGGTAAATTATCATTAATCATGAAATAGTACCTTGTAAAGATAATTTTATATGTGTTTCATTTGAAGGAGCTGGAGGTAACATTGTGATGCATACTGAAGGGAGCGAAACATCGTCTGGGTTATTTCCCTTCAATGTATTTTTTCCGTCACAAGTTCTTTGAAACCGAGTTATTGTGAAAACATCGGTCCCCTTGGGCCAAGCTGTCAGGAAAAATGATCATCACGAAAATGTACAAAAACCATAATAAACACTGACACGGCTTTATGGATATAATATCAGGAGGAATAATCCAAAGCGTTGGCAGTTTCCATCGTGGCCCGCTTAAATAAAAGCCACTCGTGTTGGAGGGCGGGGTACTGCGTAGTTTGTTTTTCGTGGCTGCCGAATACTCGAAGCAGGATCAGCTGGTTGTAGATTAATAACCTGAAATAGTGAAACTGAAAATAAAACAAACAACAGAAGCCACTGGACTGAAAAATTGCAAGCTAATCTGTTCATAGCTCTGGAAGTTTACTTATTGCCAAGTGTAAAAATACTTGAGCGGGGGAGCATTAGCTGCGTTAATAATTAACCAGTGTAGCACTTTGACCAAAAAAAAAATCACACCCTGATTATTTTTTTTCCCACTCTATCAGCAGCTTTAGTTGACTTAAAAGTAACCGTACAGTATGTTCATGGCAAAGCAACGACGCCGTTCACGTGGTGGCCATTTCCACATTTTAAATCGAGATTGCACTTTTTGATTTTACAACAGGCTTACAGTACACATATTTTGGTCGCTTTATCAGATCAGCTGCTGCTGCCCGCTGCTGTAGTAGCCGAGTAGAGGCAGATTCGGGCTTAAAGGCACAAGCTGCCAGCTTACTTTTAGGTCAGCCTTCCCCCCCCCCCCTTAAACCTGGCAGCATGACAAGGAACAAAAAAATCATGTTTATTTTGTTTAACCCAGCGAGAACTAAAGAGACCGGGATATTCACATTTGCAAGACTGGCTGACCTGGATTACTACCAATATGTTCATTTATTCTGAGAAGGTAACCCTTCCACCAGTGTTAACTATGTTAACTATGTTAACACTGGTACAGGCCTATCCTCTACAGACGGGGTGAATCTTGTGTATATCCTTGGAGAACCCCTCACAACATATATGGCAGTAATGTGGGAGACCAATATCGTACGTCCTGTTTTCCGTGAATTTCTTCCACCGATCCACAAATTGACTCCGTCTATCCGTAGGTAAAAACATGTAAATAATTGTGGAAATTTGGAAGTATGGGGATGCTGATAATCGCCGTTCTCACAGACCCAACGTCTCCTGCAGATGTTAGGAGTTGCAGGTAACACAAGAAGAGTTCTCCTGGATAATGCCAAACAAAGCTGCGTTGCTCAAAGTGCCTAAAGCCTCGTTCGGCTTCGTTTCTCCACCACCCAACAGATCTTTTGACCAGAGGTCAAAGGGCATGCATAGCTCATGAGCAACACAATGCATACATACCCCGATTGCTTAGAGGCAGAATAAGCCATTGCTCAACTCCCGTACGAAGATCACGCACGTGTGCTGTGCCCGACAGACTGACTCAAAGGCGACACAGGCGAAGTTGCTCATTTGTAAACGTGGGGACTCAACAAACGCTGCACAGATACCGGAGCTCCCATGGATGCCTCGAAGAAATTTTATATATCTTCTTGGTTCTTTCGGTAAAGTCACGTAGAAGGGAAATAAAAAAATAAAAAAAATAAAAAAAATAAAACATAATAAAATAATTCTCACGACGTTTCGGCCACAACGCAAGCAGCCGTCCTGTCGGAAAGACAGCGTCTGCTTTATATCGAAATTTAAATTTTATATAAATAATATCCACCACATTTTTATAAATCACGAACTTCTAACGTCTGCTATGTTGACGAGGTTGCCTCCTGCGGAGTAATTAAGAAAAGAAAATCGTGCCCTCGTAACGGTAGTCAAGTGCGAGTTACCAGAGAATCGGTGTGAAATTAAAGCCCTGTCTACAGCAGTCATGCAATTTGCAGTTTGTAATGGGCAGCTATTACGAACACAAACGCACCCACATGCGTGCGTATCAACAACTGTGATTAAAAATGAACAGCACGCAAATTATACTGTACTTCGTTTTTGTTCTCTCTCTTTAACTCCAAGCTGAATCGTCATTGCCCGTAATTTCAAAACGCTGTTCAATACAGTACACGAGTGACGTGTGTGTGTGTGTTTGAATACTGTTGGCTAAGTCACTGTTACGTACATAAATAATTTACGAGAATAATTTAAAGGTTGTCAATCCACTGCTGGATGAAAGCCCCTTCGAGGCTTTTTTAGTCATGTGGGGCCGTTTGACGATACTTTACAACGCTGGTTACTCGCCAATACGCTTACCCATGAGTTGACGAATTGAACTCAGGTTGTCGAGGTCCAAGTGGAGCACGCTAACTAAACTATTAGATTTTTTTATTTTAGCAGGTATGGCTATATAGTTCTTTTTCAGAAGTTGGTTTATCATGTGGACATTTCTCGCAGCCATGTACTCGTAACGCACGTCGATTCTAAATGAGGAAAAAACTGGAGGACCCTTGAGAAAAATCCACGCGACCACGGGGAGAGAAACTCAGCAAACTCCAAATATACAGCCGGCGTGAGGGTTGTGATCGAACCCACAACCTCCTGCATACCAGGCGAGGTAGTTAACATCTCGCCACCATGGCACCTCTAACATCTGCGCTGTAGCTCCATCTCTCTCATTCAGCCATTCAACCTGCTCTGTGTTGGTCAACTGTTCCATTTCGTGGGAAAACTGCAGCAATCTGACATGACATCTCAGCAGATATTAGGACATGAAAGGTCTCTTTGCAGATACAGGACAACGCTTATCTTCAGTTCATCCCCCGCCCCCCCCCCCTCTCATTGTACCCAATTCTTCGTCCCCATTAATCCCAAACTCTGCGGCCAACGGAGAACTCTGCAAAAGGTCTCCGGCTTCAATCAATGACAACCGCTCGCCACACCACCAGACACAGAGAGGGGTTTCGATTGTCACCGCATACATTCGCTGACGGCAAGAAGTTGCCGCAATGCAAGAGTTTTTGGTTGGTGATGGGTTTTTTTTTTAAACGCCGACCAGAGTGACACTTTATGCTGGCACAAGTCGGTGCTTCCCCCTGAGTTTGCGTTCGTCCCGCTCATGGCATTCAAGGGAACGAGGGGAGTTTCAAATTGATCGTGATTGTTACTAAATAATTTTTACAACAAAAATCGTCGGTTACAAAGAGGCAGTCAATTTACGTTTTTGCGATGCTGCGATACCACGTTCTCACTTTGCTCATCATCACCATCACTCATCATGTCATTCTCGATGTGATGTTGTACATCATCTCCTGCATCACACACGCCAGCCCCATTTGAAACGTCTCAAACCAGTCAATTGAAGCTGCCATCGCACGGATTTGAGAGGCAACTCACCCCTTGCTCCCATTGAACGACCGCCACAACTCCAGAGATTGCGCGCGACAGAGGCATCGGAAAGGTTTAAGCAAGAAAGCAGAGTCCAAGGCGTCACGATCACACACACACACACACGACGTGCGTGCGACAATTCTCCTACCTTGCGGACCGTCCCCGTACTAGTCCAGCGGAGGTTCAGCAAATAATCCAAAGCAGAAGCAAAAAAGTCCCAAGTCAAAAACACTCGGGGCTCGTTGGAAAAAAAAACGACGCAGCTTGATTTCGCTTCGTCGAGCAGCACGAGCGCACGTCCCTTGCACAACGATCAACTTCTTGTCGCGTCACGGACAACACCGCGGGCTGCGCCGTTCTCTCGTGTCGCTTGTCACTCGCCCCGTCGGCCTCTCTCACTCTCGCACTCTCTCGCTCTCTCGCTCGCGCTTTCACCCCGGCTGCCGGCTGTGCCGCACGCCTCTGAGAGACACCGACCTGCGGCACCCCGAGTCTCTGGTTACAACCTCTGGCAGCCTCCGGGGAGGGGAGGGAGGGGGAGGGGAGTGGGAGGGGAGGGGGAGTGGGGGAGGAGGGGAGGGGGGAGGAGGAGAGTGGGGGAGGACGGGAGGGGGAAGGAGGGGAGTGGGGGAGGAGGGGGGGAGGAGAGGAGGGGGGGAGTGGGGGAACTCCGCTTCTGGGTAAAACCAAACCCACGGCGCGCTGGAGGAGGTGGGGTGCGGGGAGGGATGGGGGGGGTGAGGGGGTGGGGGGGGGGGATCGGGAGGGGGGGGGATCGGGAGAGGGGGATCGGGAGGGGGGTGGGGGGGATCATCGGGGGGGTGTGAGGGGGGGTCGGGGGGGGATCGGGGGGGGGGTCGGGGGGGGATCGGGGGGGGGATCAGGGGGGGGGATCGGGGGGGGGGTGGGGGGTCGGGGGGGGGGATCGGGGGGGGGGGTGGGGGGTCGGGGGGGGGATCGGGGGGGGGATCGGGGGGGGGGGGGGATCGGGGGGGGGGGGTCGAGGGGGGGGATCGGGGGGGTGAGAGTTTGCCGAGCCGTGAGCGAGAACGGCGAACACGCGTCTCGACACTAATCACCGTCACCACCAAACCACGTTTCCTGTGCCTGTTGGTTGCGGCGCTGAGCGCAATCACGCGTTCGCGTGTGCACACTTTACACGTAAGAGTTCACACCGGCAAGACGTGCACGCGTGCGCGCGTTTACATTTACACAAGCGGGGGGGAGGGGGGTATATCAATTAATACTAGAAATGCAAGCTGACGCTCTCTCTCAAAACTAGAAAAAAAAATTTTTCCACATTCTGAAACCGTAGTTGTTCCCTTCCTCTAAGAC